GGCGGAAGCGGCCCGGCCGCCATCTTGGGTTAGGGCAGCGGCTGCGGCCGAAGCTGGGTCCCGCGGGTGCTGAGCTGTCCCGACTACTCCTGTTCTGGACCCAACGCCCGCCCAAGACAACCCGCGGACCACCCCCCCCGACCCAGGGCTACCGTTAGTGGCGGTCAGGGACTCCGTGGTCAGCCGCGACTCAGCAGGGCAGGCAGGGAGGGCGGCCGGCTGCCGGCAAGGTTTCGAGGTTTCTTTCTTTTCTTTTCTTTTTCTTTTTTTTACACCGTCACGTTGGCCGGGAAACCAGCCTTTGCGGAGTGTCTGCAGAGGCTCCGGCGTCTGCGAGACTTGCTACCCGTGACCAGAGTGACCCACAGCCCGGCGCCCACTGCTTGAACCCCGGGCGACCCGAGCCCGCTTGCACAAGTTGACAACTCGGCTGGAGGATCTGCCCTAGGAAGGGTTCGCCTCCGGGTGCCATCCTAGACCTCGGAAGCGCCCGGGGCCCCAGGGCGGGGTGCCGTGGCTAGCGATGAGAAGCATGCCGCCTGGCATTGGGTCGGGAGGGGTCCTAGGAGGTTTGTTTCCAGTCCTAGAGGAGTTCCCCATGTCCTCACAAGCTCCAGAAGCCTGACTGAGGTGGCTGGCCCGCCGCTTCCTGCGTCCCAGCTGAGCCCTCAGTCACCTGGCTGCCGGGGGGCCCTCCTGAGTAGTGTGCCGGCGATGAGAGGACAAGCATTGGAGCTTTTCTCTTTGGCTGCCCTCTTTTCAAGTGCAAAGCTTGGTTATCTGTCCGTGGAGGCAGGAAGTGGGAAAGGTTGGCTCTGTGCTCAGTGCAGAAAGGAGATTTCTCTGGGGTAAAAGGGCTTGGAGCCCAGCGACAAGGGGCGGAGAGGGGAACTTGTGCTGCTCCCATTCAGTGAATTCAGTGGGTCAGTATCAGGTATTCGTCTTTAATTCACATCACAGCAATCAAGGGAGTGGGGAAGGGGGAAATCAAGTGGCAGATATTTACATCTAAAAGTCACATACTTGTTGGATTTAGAACATGCTACCACAATATATACAGTAAAATACCTCTTGGGATACTAGTACAAATTTTTTTCTTTTAACTTTGCTTTCTGGTACAGGTAAGATCATTTTTGAACCACTTTTTTTTTTTTTTAAACATAAATACACAAAAGAAATGGTTAGAAGTTTTCTTATTTTAAATAAGCACAGAATGCCAGAGGTTAAAAACACATTTATAGGGCTGAATACCAATTGGACATCACACTCTATACATTTTTTGCTCAAATTCCTGTACAAATACACAGCATTCAAATAGATATTTACAAGTAAGCTTGAAAGAATGAAAATCAGTATTTCACAATCTCTTTCAGAGGATTCTCATCTCTGGCCTCCTGCTTCCTCTCAGACTGGCTGATTCTCCAACAAAAGGAATTTGGAATCTGTTCTTTTCGTCTAGTTAGGGAAATGGAGAGCGAAAACACAACCTGGCCCTCCTTGCCTACAGAAAGGCCAGAAGAACCCATACTGCTCTCCTTACCCTTCCGTACCACCAGGTGAAGGTAGATGTTCTTATGTGATGACTGCCTTGTCCAGGGATTGAGGTTCAGAAGGGCCCCCAAATCTAAAGATGCCTTCCTACCTAAGAATCAAATCTACAGCTAGCCCCCAACCCTCTAACACTTGTGAACACCAGTGGTCCAGGCCTGCGCCCCCGAGGTCGGGGCTGCCATGATTGACCCGCTTTGCCTGTAGTCATCCTTACAGTATCAGGAATGATCCACACTGGCACTAAATACCCACAGATGCCCCGAAGGTAATGTGGCCCTCCATCTTTCCTCACAGGTTACTTGCTGTCATTCCTGTTAAACAGCTGGTGTTTATTTACAAGAGCGAAACACCCTGACGATGGCCTCGTCTGTTTGGAAAGAAGGGCTCTGGGGAAGGGGTGGGGAGCTCAGGCCCAGGGCCCGACCGTGGAGGTCAGACAGGCCAGCAAACAGGGACAACACACCTGCTCAACAGGGAGAAGGCAGCCTTGTGACCATCGAAGTTGTGAACTCAAGCAAAAGAAGTCTGTGGAATAACCTAGAAACACCCTGGTAAAATACTATCACCTCCCCACCCTGTCCCCTCAATAAGAAACCAAGAGGAAAATCAGTGCCCTGACCTGGAAGATTCCTACAAAGTCTCCACTGCGCTCTGCCCAACAGACCGGGGCGGCTGGAGAAACTGCCCTCCCATCCGCTCTGAACCCTGAGTGGTGGTCCCCACGGCCTGGGGCAGGGGCCCTGCGCCTGGCCACTTGGTAGAGGATAATTCAGCCTGCGTGGTTCTCCTCTGGAAGAAGTTGCTTCCCGCCCTGCTTACCCAGGAGCTCGCTGAACCTGACCGTGAGTCCTCAGGGACTGGAAGCCTGGCTGGGCAGCCAACCCCACTGCTCAGAGGTAGTGCTGAAAATCCCTGATTCGGGCGCTGGGTGGCGCTTTCTGGCCACTTCAGAAACGTCAGGATTTCCGGCCCCTGCCACACCTCTGCCTCGCTTGACCAGCTCATCTGTCAACACGTGGCCGCCTGGGCCTTGGGAAGGAAGGTGGCGAGGGTTGTCCCTCTGGCTCCACATGCCCACTCGAGCCCGAGGATGGGCTGTAACCTCTGCAGATCCCTTCGCTGAGGGGGCTCCGGTAGGGCATGAGGTGTACCGAGTGGGAAGGAACGAATGGTCAGACGTGGAAGCGATGGAGGGAAGAATCCGAGACAGCTGGAGGCAGGACCGGCCGGTGGAAGCCTGGCAGTGCGCCCGGGCATGCAGTCAGGCCAGGTCACATGCCTGAGCGGGCAGGTGGGCCCAGCCAGCCCGTCAGTTGCATATTCCTGGACGAAAGAGTGGGCAGGTGGGCAGGCATTTGTGCAAAAACGGCTCACGGCCCCCTTGTTCGCCTGTGACATGTAGTCCACGTGGTCCACACAATCCCTGAATACAACCATGAGCTCTTCTGTCCACACAGCAAGAAAAGAGGTCCCGAGTGCAATTTCCATTCTTCTGTGCATCTCTACCCTGGAGGGAGGGCCCGGGCTCCTACCCTAGACCCTGCAAAGCTGCGAAGCGGTTCTGTCTGTGCAATATCTCCATCTAGCTCCACGTGGTCTGGAACTGCAGGAGGAAAACAGCATCTACTGCACAAAGGAAAGGAAAACACATAGAAATGGGAACACATGAAATGAAGAGAAGCCACAACCCTCATGCTGCTGCGGCCTCTGCGTGGCAGCACACAAGTTCACGGCAGTAGAACGCAGACTTGGGTGTTCTCTCCTGAGTGCCAGGCCTCTCTGGCTCCCTGGGGGCGACCTGCTTTTCAGACCTGCAATGGATGGGCCAGCTGCTCACTGAGGACGGTGTCCCGCCACCTCCCTGCCCCTCACTGCTCCCCTCGGCCGTGCTCCCAGGACGTGCGGGCCTGTTCTTCCTTGGCGCTCCCAGGAGGCAGTGAGGCCTTGCGGTGCAAGCCCCGGGGCCTGTCGGCCTCTTCGCGCAGCAGCACAGCCTCCTCATGCTCCAGGGCCGGCAGGCGGGGGTGGTAGGGCTTGGGTGGCAGCGCAGGTGGGTCCATGGGGTCCTGAGGGATGACACATCCTGGGGCTGAGTGGCTTCGGCAGGGCTGGACCTTGATGGAGTCCAGGACAGCGGACTCGGAGAGGCTGTAGTGGACAGGGAGGTAGGGGGCCTCGAGGTCTCCGTCAGCGTTCCAGGCCTGGCTTGGCATGGAGTCCATGGTGTCGGTTCGAGGCGGGGCCTCTGAGGAGTGCCCAAAGTTACTCTCACTCAAGGAGGACACGCCGCTGCTGGCACTGCCGGACAGCGTAGAGTTGCTGCCATCCAGGCCCGACTGGGGGCTGGTGGGGGAGGCTGGGATAGGGTGGAGAGGAGACTGCAAAAGAAAGCGTGGACAAGTTAGAGTCCCCTCCCTGGGCAGGTGGATGGTGGCCGTGGGATGGGACCAGAAGACTTCTTAGTGCACTTTACCGGAACCCTTGGCGACAGCGTGTTTTGATTTCTCAGCAGCAGTGCCCCCGCCCCGGCTCCCTCTTCCTCCAAGCCCATAGGGCCCCAGAATCACCCGCATTCATGGGCTAAAACATGGCCCTGCCTGGTTGCTGGCTTGTGTCCCCTGAAGCAAGGTGCCAGGCTGCTGGCTGTGGTCTGGGGTATGACAGAGGGGCTGGGTCGGCAGGCCAGCTGGGGAGGCCAGAAAGAAACTTAGTTGGCCACGGATCAGAAGAGTACTTCCTGTGGCTAAAATCTGTGGCAGAGTCAGTCTTTCCCACTTTGCTTTGGCGCCTGGGGCTTCTTGCTCTGACTGGACTCCAGCTTCAACTGTTCTGTGATCTCCCACGGGACCGGTTCTTCACTTCCCGAGCTGTGGCGTGCTGCCGTCTCGTGGTGTCCGCAGAGCCCCAGCCCCCTCTGCTTGTTGCCCTTGCATTCTGGGAGCGTGAAGCTGTGTCCAGGACCCCCTGTCCCCCCAACCCCCACTCTTACACACTGGCATCTGTGTCCCGAGCCAGCGCGTGGCTTCCTTCAGGCTGGGCTGTCCGGCCAGCGGGCAGGGCAGGGCTCTAGCTTCGATGAGACAGCTCGTCCCACAGCCTGGGGCTGGGGCTTCAGTACCTTACCTTGCGCAGGGTCCGGGCAGGGAGGGCCGGGGGCGTGTCACCCAGGGGGTGGTGGAAGGCGTCAAAGTGTAGGGAGTAATGACCTGCAAAGGGAACAGAACCACAGCCTCAGCTGGGGCCGCTCTGGACTGCACACCAGCCCGTCCTGCTGGGCCAACTGGGCAGATGTGGGAAGAGTATCCTGGTCCCCTCAGTACTGGAGGCCACAGAAAAACCTCTTTTCACTGATGTTCTCCAGAACACGGGCTGCTGCAGTAAAAGACACTCGCATTACACAGGAGGTCGTGTGTCAGAGCCCGTGAGGCAGGCTGCAGGCTGCAGGCAGTGGCAGGTCTCTGGCCCGCTGGGGGGCGATGGCAGTCCCGGTGTCTTCGGCTGTCCTGGAGGAGGGCTCACCGAGCTCCCTGCGTCCTCAGGAACCTCAGCGACCCTAGAGCCCAGCGGGATCCTTCCCTTGACGGGAGAGTTTTTCCTCGGCCGAGACAGCCTGGAGATGGGAGCCCCATCTTCTTGGCATGGGGGGCGGCTGCCCTCGCCCCTGCGCAGAGCCGAAGACCGGGGACTATCTGGGGGGCCCGCTGGCAGTCTTCTTACCATGCAGCAGGCTTCGGGGAGGCACTGCGGGGGGAGGCCAGGGGGCGCCCCATGTGGGCAGACAGGAAGGGCTGGGCCTCGCGGGCTCCACTATCCAGGCTCCAGCTGCTGGGGGCTGCTGGCGCCGCTGAAGGTGGAAACATGGCATGAAGGGAGCTACTTCTTGAGCCGCCCTCTGGGAGAAGCCCATCCTACAGCTCCGGGCTTCTCCAGGCGTGCACTATGTACCCGGCACATGTGGGATTGGTCTGCTGGCCCTGGGACAAAACATATTGGCCAAGCGAGACACTGGCCCTTAGGAAGGAGTGGCCAGGGACTGAAGCCGCTTAAGAAGATGGCAGCAGAGCGAGCTGATGTCTGAAGAGCACTTAGGATGAGGCCAGCCGAGAGAAAGTGCGGCGAGCAGCGAGCACCTGCAGCCTCCAGGGTTTGCTAGGAGGAGAAGAGAGAACAGAAGAGTGGGAAGAGGAGCGTGGGACAGGCTGACAAGACCGCGGGGACAGAGCGCGGGCCCCAGAGCTGCTCACAGTCAGAGTGGGGGGGCGGGGGAAGCAGGGAGCGAGACGCATGGGGCGCAGAGACTGCTCCTTCTAGGCTGCCGCGTGGCCAGGACCTGTCCCCTAAATTGGCCCCACAAAGGGCCTGTGTAGCGTACACGCTTTGCCGTTCCTGTCCCTTCAGCGCCCATTGGCTGGGGGTGGGCCGCACGGCGCTTCTCTGGGCCGGGGCTGGTATTCCCAGTGCCTACCGGAGGGAAGTGTGCGAAGCCCAGGAGTCGTGGCCAGTGGCCGAGTCCACCTGGATCAGCCGCTTCCTGGGGGGAGGTTGGGCTGTGCAGCCCGTGGGCGCTTTAGGGAATGTGGAGAGGCCCTGTTCCTGGCATCCACATGCCATGGATGTAGGGCTGAGTGGGACCTGGACAAAGGGAGGAATCCAGTGCCAGAATGCCAGCCCCTCAGCCACAGCTGGGGTGAGCGACTTCGCGGGAGGGGAGGGGAAGGGAGAGGAGGAATGGCTGGACCTCAGGTCGAGGATACCACTGAGGAGCAGCAGGGGACATGCACATCCTGTTGGCCAGCTCCTCCTGGAGAACAAATACCTCCGAGGAGAAGAAACATGCCCTTTCTCTGAGGGAGGCAGCCAAGCGCCATCTCCCTTTTGGGTTGTTGGCAGCAGAGAGGAGGCTCACAGTCCAGGGGGCCTGCTCGCTGGCTCCCTTAGTGAAAGGCAGTCTCAGTGAAAGCGAGCCTGAGGAGGCTGGGGTTCAGGTTCTTCCTGCTCCAGTACTAAGCGGGCGATGCCAGGGCCTAATGGGTCCTGAGAAGCTCTGGGAGGGAAGGAGCTGGAGCTTAGCCTTCAAGGAGGATGTGGCAAGAGGGGCTGGGCTCCAGGTGGTCCAGGGACAAGGTGATGTCCATTCTCTTCTTCCTTGTCGGTCAGGAAATGGTGTGGGCTTGCAGGGGAACCTAGCCTAGAACCCCACTATGCAAGCAGCCTCAGGCCTAAGGAGGACTGCTGTCCCTGGGATGGGTGATGGCTGGTGGCAGGAGGGAGGGTATGGCAGTGACTGGGTGGGGCAGGCACTCAAATGACGCCTGGAAGGAGGACAGATTTCTGAATCTGATGAACATCGGGTGGATTCCACCGGAAGGCCCTCTCAGAGGATCTGGGTGACCCCAAGAACAGGACAGGCCCGTCCCCACACAGGCTCTCCCTGAGGTGCGGCACGAGCTTCCTAGTTGGTCCTCAGCACTGAAGCTCCCTCTCCACAAAAGGAAAACTTTCGTCTCCATAAAAAGCCACCAAATTTCATAGAAGCAGCAGCCTAGAGCTGGGTCTGGGCAGCTTCCCCAAAGGGTTCTGACAGCCCAAGACCTCACGTGCACACCTAGGCATCAGAAGAATTGAGGGGTCGCACGAAGTCCACCCACAGGGGCCCAAAGGAACTCGCAGCCAGGAAGGCGACGGGGGAAGAAAGCCGGCAAGGCTGCAGCGGCTTACAAGGGTTGACCGCCTCAGCCGCTCCACATGACCAGAAACCAATGAGCTTGCCCCGACGTGGGTGAGCAGTGATGCCAGCGGACCAGTGCCCTGGGGCTGGTGGGAAATCTAAGATGGAGTGACTTCTCCTAGAAGAGGGGCAATCCCCACAGTGACCCCGTTTCTTTCTCTGTGTCACCAGCAGTCCAGCACTGGCCTGAGGTCCCCAGTGTACAGTCTATAGCCCCACAAAGAAAGCTATCTGCAAGTGAGCAGTGGAGTCCTCACGGGATTCAGGATCCTGGTGACGAGCATGTACAGCTCCGGCCCTGGAGGGCCCAGGCAGGGACTTAGGGAGTAATTACTCTGGCTTGTGTTCCCACCAGGCGAGAGCTGGCCTTGCGGCGTGGACACGCTTGCTCTGGGCTCAGCCTCTTCTGTGACGACCTGTTCTCCTCCCCATGCCTTGGGAAGGTGTGTCCAGCCTCTTGCTACAGCCTGGTCCAAGGCCCGAAGCTCTTCTGCGTCTGGCTGGTGCAAGGTCTCCGTCTGGCCACTCAGCCATTTGATCTCTGAGCCCACCTGTGCTCTTGGCTGGTTCTGAGATTATTCCACATCTCAAGTGAAGAAAAGCCACTGTGGATTCTGGCCCTCGAGGCCAAAGGGGCACTCTGATTTGGGGTCCAGGTGCAGGGCTCCAGGTAAGCCACACATTTTGGGGATGTGCAGCCTTGAGGCTAGGACAGCATCTTCAGCCAGAATCTCCATGCCCTTTGTGGTTGGGCACCCAGGGCTGGCACCTACCAGGCACTGAGGTTGTGGATCCGATATCTGGTGTCCTTAGAGAGGACACAAGCATGTCCTCCATGATGAGCGCGGGAGGAACAATGACAGTGGGGACAGCAGACAGCATTTAATGAGATGTAATGACGAAAGATGACGTCTTTGAAGGGATGTGTTCTGATGGGATGGCGGGTCATATTGTTGGGGACTGAGTGTGCCATAACCTCCAAGAGATGGAGGAGAGGAGAGGGGAGGGGAACCCACAGAGATGGGCTGACGTGGGGCCAGGTTCTGTGTGGCAGACGGGCTCAGCAGAGTCCCCTCTGTGTGAAAACTAACTCGGGCCTTCCCGTCTGGGGCTCTAGGCCAGGGTCACATGGGTCCGAGCCTGGTTCTTCCATCAGCTGCTGGAGCAGAACACAGAACAGAAGTCCACTATCTAAGCAGCCTCTGTTCTAGGGACTTCCCAGGCTCATGGTATAGTTGATGGGATGGCAATGTGCAAGATGGACTCCACAGCTGTTGGCCAGAGTGGCTACAGGGGGACTGGCCTCCCTCAGGGTACCCGGGCTCCCCTTGGAGAGGACTGTCCCTGGGAAATTCACTTTGCTACCGCCTGCCTTTCCCACTCTTCTCAGGGCTTGCTTGGCCTCAGGCCTATTCCGAGCAATGAGGAGCGGGCCCTGAGGGCCCATGCTGAGAGGGATCAAAGGGGCTACAAGACCTGCCAAATTTGGAGGTGCCCAGGATAGTGGTTATAGTGGTTACTCTCAATTAGCACACAGCAGCCTGAGTTTCCATTAGGGTAGGCTCAGGGCAGATGGCAGCAGGGGCCTCTCTGAGGTGAGCTCTGGGGAGGGAGAGATACAAACCAACATGATCCCAACCCCAGCACCAAGCCAGACGTGGGAGAAACGGTGAGCACAGGACTTGGTCAGGACCCTGGACAGAGATAGGCCTGGGGTGTGGCTTGGCCTTGGCCAATCAGTGCTCAGGGACAAAGAGTCAGATGCTCAGTCGGATGAGGACACACATGGGAGAAGGCCACCTGGGAAGGGGAACAATACCTTTTTCAGCCACAGAGAGATTGGGGTCACTGCAGGGTTTGCAGGCTCCGACCACTTGCTGGAACAGGGCTCGCTGGAAATTTGGCAGCTGAGGGAAAGAAAAACGTTGAAGAGGGTGAAAATCACCAGGTACACCTGGGGCAGGGGTGGGGGTGGGGATGCTGTGGGCCGCAGGAGCCAGGACGATCCAAAATCAGCCCTGGCATGGCTTCCGCTGCGAAGGCCAGACTGGCCGCAGGAGGGCTGCCACACGCAACGCCCGACGCAGCACCCTCCGGTGTCTGGTGAGGCTCCGGGCTGTGTCATGCGTGGCCAAGGAAAAGGGCACAGGCACCTGAGGGTACCCTAACTGCATCTTTGTGTCCTGCCAGGGAGACACACTGGCAGAAAGGATTTAGGGACCCCTTTCACCCGTGTGCTGGCAAGTTTAGCCCCACAGGCCCACGTTGGCACTGAGGGTGGGGAAGGGCGGCGCTCAAGCCTAGAGTCGCAGACAGGGCCCACTGTTTTGGTGGGCAGCTGCCAAGTAGACCTGCTCCCTCCACCTGGCAGGGCTGATCAGGTACAGGGAGGTACCACGGAGAAACTCCTGGCACTCTGGGACCAGGCGACAGTTGCTTAGAGGTGACTTTCACTAACTCTGATGGAAGGACAGGGAAGATTAGGTAGGGGGAGGGGTTCATCCCTGTAGCCGCTCTCCAAAGCCTTCGGCAGGGTATTTGGAGAGCTGTGTAAATGGTGTGCAGAGCAGTCTTTGCAGGTAGTGAGGGGCTTCGGCTGGATGGACAGGAGGCCAGTGAGGATGCCCTTCACCTGCACAGGGAGAAGGCCGCCCTCTGCTTCCTCTGCTGCCTTTTCGGAACAGGAAAGAACCAATTTCCTCTGCCAGACTCTTTAGGGATGAGTTCAAGAGGCTGAAGGGCAGACAGCCACATCAGCAATGGTGGTTCCAACCCTGCCACCATCTACCCTCGCCGCACTCTGGGTTGCTGGTCCTCAGATTCACTGCAGTCCCCACCCAGGAGCCCGGTAGCCTTCTGAGGGTCTTACGGCAGAACGAGGAAGGCATGGAGGGCAATGCGGAAAGCCTAGCAAGTGCAGTGAGGGGCGCCTAGGCCAACATACTGGCGGCAGGGGATAGTCAGTGGGCAGCATGTACTACCTGTCCATTCTCCAGGATGGCTGCTGGATACATGGCACTGCTCGGACGGTCCCGATGCGTGGGCAGCAGCAACATCATTTCCCGGGCATGGCGGTACTTATCTGGCAGAGAGGGAGAGCCTGTAACCAAGTGAGAACAATCACGCACAGATGACAAGCCACGAATGGAGCGCCCAGTGGGCAAGCATCCTTGGGGCCAGGGAACCAGGGTAGGTGTCCCCTTGCAGTTGGGCCAGGATGAACGCAGCAAGCACAAGAGAATGAAGCAGAGTCTGATGGTTAGATGGTGCTGGGGGCTGCACCTCGCATCCCAGCCGAGGCGGATATGCTGGGGCGAGGTGGACCCACTGAAGGACGCCCTCTCCATGCTCAAATGAGAGTTGGAAGTCTGGAGCTGGGTGCCTAGAGGCCCCTGCACCCAGCAGTCTTGGGAGATGGGTGTGGCCTGGATGCCGGGTCCTCTCGGGGGCTTCGACATGGTTACAGGCCGGCTTTCAATGGAGCCATCGCACAAAGACAGACATGAGGATAACACAGCGGCATGGTCTTCACTCGACACCCCGTGTCTCCACACACTTACCTTCTGCAGACACCACTGGCTTTCCACAGCCAGCCCCCAGCACCTCTCCCCGGGGGTTCCCCCCAGCGTCTGGCCCCTGCCCTCCTGGCCATCCTCCTGCAGCCCTGGAGCCAGACTGGGTGGGCACCCAGGGCCCTGCACCAGGTGGCTCTCCAGGGCCTCTTACTCTGAGACTTGCCCTTCGGGGAACTCGGGGTCCTGGGACTAGTCTGGGAGTTGTGGGGCTTTAACCCAGGCTCTCACGTTAACTCGGTTTATGCTCTTCTCTCGTGAGGCCTTCTCGGTGACCTCCTCTGGCCTAAGGGGCTGTTACGGAGGCCAGACCACTTCCAATGTGGTGTGGCCAGTCCCCACTGACGCACGCCATAGCTGTAGGCTCTGGAACCTGTCCACCCCGGCCCTCAAGGGGACCTCCCACAGAGGTAGTGGATAACGTGCTGGCTTTCCTCGGGGACGGATAGTTTGGAAGGCCCTCCAACTGTGTACCACGAGTGCCAGACACCAGCCTGTCCGCAGAAACTAGCGGGGTCTTCTGCACCCCTCATGGGGGGTTACCGAGACCCCAGTGCCCACTGGGAGCCTCTGGCCGCCCCAGGTGGTTGAAAGCCCTCTCTGCGGGTGCTCTCGGTGAAGCTGGAGCGCTGAGACCATAGAAGGGCTCCCTCTGGGAGCTGACCTGCAGCCCTGGCGGCTCTGTGTCCCTGACACCCAGGGTCTCTAGGGCCGGCCTTCGCGTGTGCGGTGGAGGCGCCGCAGGGCCGTGCCTGAGAAGGTCTGTAGCGGGCATGCCCCAGCGGTCTCTGGAAAATTCCTTTCGTACTCAATGTAGTCCAAGAAGATGAGGCTTAAATACCTTAAGAAGCTGGTATGATAAAAACCTATAATGTAGTTATTTCTGGAGACTTCTTCCAAGGGGGTCTGAGCAATCCTATTTGGAGAACTCCAGGGCTGGCTTTAAGATCTGGTCTTAAAAGTATCCATCATTGATAAAGGAATGAGTGAAGTATGCTTTTTGGAAAAGCTAGGCCTAAATTATTACTATTTGGTGATTTTTCACTGATTTCAGTGTTTTGTTACAGAATTTGTGCTCTGAGGCTATCTCAAGAAGATGGCTGTGTGGAGAAAAATGAAGAAGAGAGCCTAATCCCACTGATTTCTGTGGTGCCTTTCCAGCACGAAAGTTCCCAAACCCTGCCAGCCACAGTGTGCACAGAAGACACACAGCATCTCTACACCGACTCGGCCACATCAGACTCCCATCCACTACCCACTGCTCACCGGGTCAGCAGTTGGAACGCCGTATGCTGCCTTTTTCAGGCTGGCCGGGGGCCCTGACCTCACGGAGCTCACAGCCTCGTTCACCAGGCCGGCCCCAGATTTGCGCACTCAACATCCTGATACACGCTGAGGGGCTAGGGGGCAGGGCAGCAGTCTGCAGGCACGGGGTGCCACTGAGGATGTGTGTCTGTGTTGCAGAGGTCCCTGTGGTGCTAATCCGGAGGGGTGCTCTGTGCTACCACTAAATTTCCCAGCTCCACCACCTCACTTCCCTCCCGTTGCCCTCTGGCCTGGGCAGCCAATCCCATGGTAGGAAACTGATGGCTGCTTTTCAAGAAAACATTAAAACTGTTTTTAAATGGACACAAAGGCTTTTGTTTCACAGGACATCAGAACTGCTTGGGCTGCAGTCTGGTAAACCCCAGGGAGGCTAAGCCCCAGCACAGCTGGGTTATTCAGGGAGGCCCAGGCACAGTTCCCACGTTTCCTAGGTCCTGATCAGTCCTTGACCACCAGGGGGAGCTGCTGACTTGCAAGAGTTTGTGCCTTGCAGGCGGTTTAGCCTGAAGGTTTCCAAAGCAACGTGGACCGCAGCAGAGAGCGTCAGCGGGCATGGCGAGGAAGGCCACTGGTGTCACGGCCACTCTGGGGAGTGGGGGAAGTGACTCCAATGTGAAGGAGTCTCCAGAACACCTGCTTCATGAAAGCCTTCCTCTCACCCATAGCCCCCGACATAAACCCCCAGCGAGGGGACTGCCCTTCCCCCTGCTCCCCCAGTGCGTCTACCACCGTATTTACGGCAGTCTTCCTCTGTGACGCTGGGTCGGGCTTCTATGTCCTCTCACAGGGCCCGTCACTGTGCCTGGTACCTGCCGGGCCTGTGGTTTTCTCCAGATGGGCCTGCACACAGATGTGGCAGCCTAGAAATAACTTCCTGCTCTTTCTTAATTGCCCTGTCCTTATCACCATCCTCTACGTTGGGCCCAATTCTATTTAACCATTTTGTTTACTTCTGTACTTGATGTCTACTCCAGGAAGGGAAGCGGCCTCTCTCAGCCTTTCTCTACAAGGTATTGTGGAACTTGGCCATTGTGATAGCTTGTCTCTAGAGACGGTGACTATGAATGCCTTGCCTCTCAAAACGCACAAGCCACTTCTCACACAAAGCAGAGTCTCATTCCCCACCCTGGTACCTGGGTTGGCCTTAGTGACTAGCTGACAACAGAATGTGCCAAAAGGGACATTCTGAGGCTTCCAGGCTGGGCAATAAGAAGCCTTGTAGCTTCTGCTGGGGGCTCTTGGAATGCTTTCTTTGGGGAAATCATCAGCATGCTGTGAGAGCCTGAGCTACACAGAAAGGCCGTATGCAGGACTCAGGCTGACAGCCTCTCAACTGGCACCATGTGACAGAACCACCTTGGATGTCCAGCCTAGTCGAGCCTCTGGATGACCCCAGCTCCAACTGCCATCCGGCTGCCAGCTGATGAGAGACTGCAGTGAACTGCTCGGTGACCCCTGTCACCCCACCGGACCGTGGGCCATGATAACGAATGGTTGGTTTAAGCTGCTAAGTCTGGGGGTGGTTTATTATGTAGCAATAGCTAGCCAAGGCATCGGGGAGGGACTACCTCTAAACGGGGAGAAAACAACTTCTCTGTTCAACTCTGGTGGCGCAAGAGCCACGCAGATCCGTCACCAAGCCCTTGGAAAAGCGTGACGAGTGAACAGATCGGCAAGCGGTTAGCGGAAGGACAGAGGTGGGGACAGCCAGCCTGCAAGGTCCCTGACGGGGTCTCTGTTCTCTCCAGGGCACAGCCTAGAAGTGTCCTAACAATGTCAGAGGGGAATCGCGCTACACCGTCCATCTTTTGTGGCCTGATTTTATCAATGGTTATGGTTTAGAGAGCGTCTTCAGCAAGAATACGCGGATCCAGACTCATACATGGCTGAGTACGTCTTGTGTTCGGGTTAGGGAAAAGAACCATGCGATTCATCACAAACTTTGTTTCCGCAGCCCTATTCAGGAGTTTACTCCAGGACACTGCGAACGCTGCCTCCGCTGCCGCGTTCGTGGCTCACCTCACAGGGTTCCCTTCCCTTTCGCTCCTACAGCCATCTTTTGTCACACGAATCTCTAAAACACAAATCCCTGTTTCTTCTTTATGTGTACAGCCTTCACATGTTGACGAATTTCCAACAAGCACCCACTGGCTGGTGCATCGTCTTCTCTAGTCCTAGCAGGGTCTGCTCCCGAATGCGGCACCCTTCCCGAGGGCCACGGTCCATGCCGGGAAGGCAACCACCGCTGTGGAACGGGCAGCACACTGACAGCTGGCGCGTGTGAGAACCTGTACTCCAAACTCCATTTGGCCATGAACAGGCTAGACGGCCTCAAGCCCCTCTCCCTGGCCCTGTCTCCCCCACCGGAAGTGAGGGGTCGGGCTGACCGCCTCCAGTGAGTCTGGACTGGGCCGGAGCAACCTTACCCCGCACCTGCTGAGGCTCTTCCCGTGGGCTCCCGCCTCTCTATCGCTTTACCCTGTTCCCTCCATCACTCCTCTGAGGTTTTTTTCTTAATGACCCTTCATGTCACCAGCGGGTGCTGTTTCTCTTTGTCTCCATAATAATCAGAACAAAAAGACCTCATCCCTCTGAAGCCTGGAAGCAGCCGCCAGTGGCCAGCTGGCAAGCTCCGAGCACCCGCTTCCGCGGCAATCCTGCACGGCCAACCCTGGCTGCGCTCGGGCTCAGGTGCCACGGCTAATTTCCACCCCACTGCACATGTTTCCCTCTGAAAGAACAGAATCAAACCTCACTGCAGGAACTGGGATCAGAATGTGAAAAAGACGCTGGCTCTCAGAGAACAATGTTTAGCCAACTGAATTAGAAAGTAAGCAAAATCTGGCCAAGTAAATAGCTTTTTACAGAGCCTCCTCTCCTGATTAAGCCTTTCCTAACCGAACAGGTATTTTTGGTTGTTGATACTGTTTAGAATAACATTTTCCAGGGTTAATTTTAGCTTTCAAATTTAATTTTAATACTTTGCCATGATGCTCGATACCTAAAGACCCACTGTTGCCTTAACTTTGATCTTTATTCTCGCGAACATTTCAATGGAAAAGAACTGAGCCTTCTCCTAGGCTGTGCCCTCTTGCTGAGGTGGAGAGGTGACCATTGGCGACCCTGGCGTCAGTACAGCTGTGACCACTACTCAGAACAGGGCCTGACGCCAGCCTGAGAGAGGTCTGGAGGCAGAGGCCTTCAAGTCCTTGCCGCTGAGAGCACAGGTGAGCACGCTCTAAGTCACAAGGTCGCTTTCAAAGACAGAGCCACACATGAGAGGACAAGTGGGGCCCACGAGGCCCTTCCTTGTCCCTTCTGCAAGCAGCGCCCTGTATCCTTACCTCGGGCACTGGAAGGGGCAGAGGTAATCATCTGGGATGGTGCTGAGTGAGTGGAACTCAGGCTGGAGGAAGAAGGGCTTGCCTGGGACGAGGACAGAACAGAGACATTCGTGACCGAGCCCTGGTACCTGGGGTTGGGATACGCGAGCTGCAAAGGGAGAGAAATCAGCAGGAGAGAGGTCTGAATCGCCAGGGCTGTAGGACTGGCCTAGACTTGGCTTCTTCACGCCATGAGGTGCCCAGACCTGGCATCTGATGCTGTACTCTGGGTCCTGATGGAGGCCAGGCTAATAATGGCCGGCACTAAAGGTCACCCACACCACCCACGGAGCAGGGCTGTTGGATTCTGGTGGGGGTGCCCATGGAGGGAGCAGGACTTCACCACTAGAAATGCCAGGCAGGAGGGCAATGAGGCAGAGGGTGTTTCCCACGGGATCTGTGGGAGCGGCCAGCACTGAAGCTGGGTTTCCTTCTTGGGCAATATGGCCTGGGAGCTGTGGCCTGGATGCGGTAGGGGAAGGCAGTGTTGCTGGAGAACTAGGCAGAGACGTCGACCCTCAGACCAGACCAGCCAGCGGAGAGGTGAGTCCTCCAGGGACAGTATCCCGGCCCACTCTCCTGGGACAGCTCCGATACCTGCATGTGGTGGTACAGGTCCTCGGGGGCCTCGCCCATGGAGCTGTCGCCCAGCATCACCACATTTCCCGCTTCGCTAGATGCATGTGAGGACAGAGAGGATGACGAATGGCGGCCTGTGCCCATCAAGTTCACGGGGCTGGGAGAGAGTGGGAGACAGGCAGGGGTCAGGGCTGGAGCGGAGGTTCCACAGCTAACACTCATCTCCGCCTGGGGCCTGGAGACGTCCTGAACGCCCCCTGCCGCTCAGGGCCCTGGTCTGGCAGGTCGAATGGCAGGCTGGCATGGCCTCTACCTGGAGCTGGCTATGGCCACTCAGTCTGATGACATCAGCCCTTTCTTAGGCAGGAGGAATGAAAGAGACACTGAAATGGGGCATGGATCCGAGGTCCCCCTGCCATGGATGTTAACCTGAGCCGGTGCCCACCCTCTGCTGGGACCTGCTCCTTGGTCAGGGGTGTCTTCCCGGCAGGAGGAAGCTACCAAAACAGCCAGCTGTGAACCACCTCTGGGCTTCCTTCCACGCCTGTGGCCCCACGCCTGCCAGCAGCCCTCCTCGCCCGTTCACCCCTTCTCATTTGCTGAGTGCCTGCTCTGTGCTGACTTGCTGCTCACACCGGAAAAGAAAGCCGAGCGAGGGGCTCCCCTCTGGCCTGGCCTTCCTGTTCTAGGCCCTCGAGCATCTTCAGCAGAGCGCAGGCAGACCAAAACTCCTGGGTTCGGTACAGCCACACCTCGATGTCCCCAGCACTGTGCTGTTCTCTTCCAAAAAACCAACTGTGATCCTCATTCCTCCTGGGATCAAGTCCAAAGGCCTGAATGAATGAGGCCCATTCGGAGCTGGTCCTGGCCCCCCAACACCCCTCCTCCCGGATTCCTGCCCTTCAGACACTTGGTTCTGCTTGCGGTGCTGACCAGACTGGCTTGTTCGCACCTTGAGGCATCTGCACGTGTCACTTTGCCTGGATCTTGCTCTGTCACCTTCCTAACCCCCACTCTTTTATGTCTAGCAAACTTCTACTCATCCTTTAAGATTTACCCCAAACGCCCCCTCCTCCCATAATACCATGTACACTCCTCTGTCACCCAGGATGGCTGGATGCAGAGCGTGGGTCCTGGTGCACACGGGTGAGAGGGTGTGTGAGTGAGCACACACTTGCTTGCTCTGACCTCTGCCCTTCAGACTTACCTCTGTGGAGGGGACCCTCCCCAGCCCTGAGGCCGTACCTGTGCCGGTGGGTCATCTTGATGCTCTCAGGGCTCATGGGACTGTGGGATGCTAGGACATTCCCCCGGGGGGTGCTGGTGCCTGAACATGCAGGACTTAGCTTGTCCAAACCCGGAAACTCCTGTTGAGAAATGAATGTCCCTTCATCAGAGAATAAACAGCAAAGTAAGTGAAATCTGAGAGGAAAGAATAGGCCGGTGGTAGAAACATAAAATTTAAAAAAATCACATCCTGTGGGTTGTACTGGAACTGCTGTCTTCTTTGGGGCAATGACCCCTTCACGACTAAAATATTCTCCTAACCACAGTGGAGCCCAGACCAGAGGCCAGGAGGCCTGAGGTTGACCCCACGGAGAACACATCTGGAATAGGCTGAAGTTGGTCTGAGTTCACGATGTGAATTCATCCGAGTGTGTCACCAGGCTTCCTCTCTACGGAATAAGTAGAACAGCGGCTCGGAGCAGGAGAGAGAGAGCTGATGATCAGCTGTCAGCCAGTGGGCGCCTCTTACATAAGGACTGGCCTTGGGTTTTATTGGATTGCTAAATGGACCAGCTCTTAGTGACCTGGGTTAAGTTGTCTGTGACACAGTTTATGAGGAGATAGGACACAAAATCCTGATGTAAGTAATTGAAAAACAGCACAGTCCTATTTTAGCATAATTAAATTCTTATTAAGTATATAGACAGCTTGGCAGAAACTTTTGATCCCAAACTCTCCTGGGTGACAGCACATTGGTCTGTGTCCCTATTTGTGACTCTGTCCAGGTGTCCTCGAGTCCTTCCCAGCGTGGGGGCTCTAAGTCCACGGGGGGGATTTCTGAGGTTGGCCAGAAGCGGCAGCAGCTTTTTTATCTGCTTCTTCCACAGCAGGCTGAAGGCTGAAGTGTGCTTCTGCAGCTGGAGAGGACACCGCCCTGTGCGCCCCAGACACCTCGATAAATGTGGGCGAGCATTTTGTGCTTGTGACATGACAGCCTGCATGGCAGAGAATGCCCTCCACCCTGCCCTCCCCACCCCCCAGTGGCCAGGTTCTGGACGGCCCGGGTCACCTTCCGTGATGGAGAAAACCCGCCAAGCTGGCAGAAGACAGAGTGAATGAGATGTGACAGAACACCCATCAGACTGAGTGACGCAACCCAAGTTCTTACTAAACGGACAACCTCGTTTTAAGGGGGAAACATAAAAGACTCTCCGCACGTTCTGCCGTGAAGTACCAGGAGGGAGTCGTTAGGGAAAGGCATCCCGGGCTCTGTGGCCTTTGCTCTGGAGGCGCGCCCACTTCTCAGACCACAGACACACTTTTTTCTCTTTTCACATTCCACGCTGTCCACCCTTGCGCAGGAACAGGCCAAGACCTGCACTGAGGGCTGGAGACGACCAGAATGTCCAGCCTTCAAGTACAAGGCAAATCGATCCCAACAGGTCGGGCCCACCGAGCCCGAGTGGTCCAGCTTCCTCAGGGCCTCTGTGGCCAGTGATGGCCCCTGAAGGGGCACTTGTCATTCACAATGGCCGTGGCCAACCCTGACCAGCTCTATGTCCCTTGCCTCCCTGCCACTTCCGCCTCCCGGTCCTGGGTCATGGGAAGATGGCAGCAGGTGCCCGGGCTCATGCGCTTGGAGATCTGGCAGCCTGTTTAGCAGGAAGGCTTCTCTAGACAACGTCTGGAGTCAGCCCCGCGGTTGAAAATGAGGTGAGGGTCTGTGAACAGGGGTTTAAGACCACCTGAACCCCATCCTCAGCCAGCAGACATTCTCTTTAAGACCCCGAAGTTAAATTAGTCTGGGAACACAGGGCCTGCTTGTTTGTTTGTGTGGATAAGCCCTCGGGCCAAACCTTGCCATGAAGGCCCAAGAGCCAGGCCACAGTCAGGGGGACCTTCTGGGTCCTGAGCCAGCCCCAGAACCTGCCTGACTCCCCTGAGGCTCCCTCAGATGCGCGCCTGGGTGGAGACATGCTGAAGGAAGAGAGGGAGAGGGAAGGCAGGGAGCTAGAGGGGAAGGGTGAAGACAGGGAAGAGAGAGGGTGGAGGGGAGGAAGATGGTGGGGGGAGAGCGCGGTGGGCAGAGCGGGCTGGCTTGGGCCTTGCCTTACCTCTTTAGGTTCTTGGGATGAAAAATACCTCTAGAGAGGTCTCTACATGTGGGCCCCACACCTCAGCTCTTCTCCTCCGCATACGAGAACCTCTCCTCACCGCACAGTACCCTGAGAAAATGCTCTCTGCCCTTGACTCTAACTCCTCCCTAGGAAGGGAGTGAAAGAGGGGGTCCTGATGGAACACCCACGTCTGCAGTGGAGACAGCTTTCCCGTCACCCCACCCCCACTCTCTGTTCGCTTGTTGCACAGGTCTGGGGCGACTACACCTGTGGCAGGGGCAGGGAGGGACCAGCTTACGTGGTAGAGACTGGCCCGCATCATCTGGAACTGATCGATCAGCTTCTTATGCAGAGGCCGCATTTCTGGGTGCACAAACTTCTCATGAACTGCCAGCCCGACTCCAAGGACATGGACCTATTAGGTGACAGACAGGCCACTCTGTCAGCTAGGGGGAAGCCCTTGAGAACTGTGGCCATCCTGTGGTGCACGGCCTTTCCCTCCTGGCCCCTGGCTTCTAGGCCCAGCAAGACATACCTGCTCCTGCATGAGCTCCTTGAGCTGGGCGATCTTCTCGGCATCTCCGGGGTGCTTGGTGATGTAATCCTTATCAAAGAAGGCCTGGGAAAGGGAAGGCCGGGTCAGGAAGACCCTTCCCGGGACTATTACTTAGATGGGGCCCAGGGAGCCACCTGAAAGGCCGCTGGGCTGCCTCCTCACAGGTACACACACCAATGCACCTCTAGTCAACGAGCCGCCTACAATCACAGGTGTGTTTTTTGTGTCTAAGAAGTGCTGATGGTGGCCAAGTCATCTAAGCCTGGATGCTAGTCCCAGTCCTTCGTGGAGCCTGGATGGCCTGGGCGGGGCAGGCAGGGCTGGTGGCCAGGGGTGGGGTGAGGGTCTTAGCCAGCCCGCCTTTCACTTCCTGTGAAGGACTGGGCTCCAGGGCTCCTCTTGGAGGCCACCTAACATCCCACCATGATTGGACAGACTGCCCATCTGGCAGAGTCAAGAATGAAAAGACAGACCCCCTCCCCCCCACATGCACGCACAGCTGGGCCGCAGAACTAGGGAGCGGGGAGCTTAAAGCCTCATCCCAGGGTATCCTCCAGCGGCTGTGGCAGGACCGGGGAGGGCGAGCTGGGTGGGCTGGAACCGCAGGAAGAGCAGCCCGAGGTCGCTCTCGCAGCCAGGCTGCCCTGTGGGCGGGCTCACCTCCTGGTAGCGGGCGATGCCTCCGTTGACCGCCGCGTCGATGACGCCGTTCAGGCACATGCTGAGCAGGCTGACGTTGCCATGCGCCTGCTTGTGCTGATACTGGCCGATCAGGGCCCGCAGCTCCTGGTTCTTATTCTCCACCACTTGGATGGCATTCTCCAGGGGACTCACCTCCACCTGGGGCACACGGCGCATGGTGTCATTGCAGGTACAATGATGACCCCCTCCCTCATCACAGGGACCTAAAACCTGTGATGCTGCTTCCCTGCTCTTGTCCCCGCGGACTTGACCCCTGGGGCCCTTTCCGACTTCCTCGCTGGCTTGTAACCGGGACATGCAGCTCTGGTTCCGCGTCAGAGCACTCTGGCTCCCTGACCTCGGCTCCCTCGTGTGTAAACTGGGCGGCTGAAAATACGAGCCGCCTGAGGGTGCTGTGAGGATTAAGTGGGAGAAGGTGTACGAGCCCCCAGCACGGGACTGGCGGCGGGAGCCCAGACCGGGCAGGTGGCCAGAGCGCACTCTTTTTTCCTTCAGTCCCTGGAGGAAGGTCCCCAAAGCCAGGGCTGAGGGAGCGGCTGTGAGTACCGGCCCCAGCTGAAACATCGCTCACCAGTTCCCTCCTCTCCACCTCGAACCACCGAGAGATGCCGGGCAAGCTGTGGGTCAGGGTCAGCGTGGTACGCTCGATCCACAGGCTCTGCAGGGAGGGCACAGGAAGGTACAGGCCATTAGGCAATTTCTGCCACACCCTGCCTGCTCGAAGGATGAGACAGGGATGAGTTCCCAAGAAAGTGGGGCTTGCCCTGGCTTCGCGATGAGCACTGCCCCAGCTTTCTTAGGTTTGTTCACCTTGAATTCATTCTCTTTGTCTTTGGGGCCTTTGTGAAAAGGCCTGTCGTACCGGAACTTCCTCACATTGTTGACCCGGTAGAAGCTCTTGACACGATCCGGGACCCGGTCCATCTGCAGGACATCCACGTAATCGGGAATGGGTGTCACCGCATAGATCTGCAAATCTGGGTGGGAAGTGAAGGGGCATCCGGACTTGCCAAAGAGCGGAAGCTGACTGGCTGGCCCATGCCATCCTCCTACGGAGAGGAGAGCACCGGAGCCCCCATTCCCTCGGGGCGGCGGCAGCAGCACCTCAGGGGTGGACCAGGCTCAGGCACAGCCTGACCAAACCTCCCGGCCTGCAGCCCTTCCCTGGGCGTCTCCTGAGCGCTCAGCTGAGCTGGGATGGCAATAGCTGAGTGTCCCCAGTACCCCTTTAACTCAGAAGGGGAAAGGGGTCAGGGGAATACAGGTGCCTCCCCCCGACAGGAGGGAGAAAATGGCCAAGGCATGGGCCTGCCCACTGTAGGTAAACTGTATTTACTGTAAAACAACTTTTAATAAAATACTCTTTGGGGTCTTTGTGGTAAAATAGCACACGGGAGTCCACTTGCCCTCCCCTCTCTGGAACAAGCTTGCACGGCCACGCGACGGTCATGTGGTCTCCAAGGAAGCTGTGTGGGGATGGGGGACAGGCCGGTGTTTGCACACAGACAGCCACGTGCCACTAAGACCACAGGCATGTCCCTCTTCTCCCCCGCTCCCCTGCCACATCCTGGAACCTCAGTCCTCCTGACAAATACCAGGGATAATGGCAAAGACACGTGGGAGCGCTACGGGGCGCAGAACTGGTGGTGTCCCCATGATAAGTCCCGGTGGGACCCCACATCACCCTGCGCAGTGACTGTTCCTGGTTGCCAGGAAGGCCCGTCACAGGACAGGGTGGGGACATGTAGCGGCCAGCCTGAGGGATAAAGGTCCTTCTGAAGGCCTGCTGACTCGCCCCCACCCCATGGCGGAGGGCATGCCAGGGCCTCCTCTGTGAGGCACAAGTGCCCTGCTAAGGGCAGGTTTAGTGATGAGGACATACTTTGGTTTAGGACTTCTGGGCGACCTAGCCTACAAGGCCAATGTCATGGCAGAGACGCAGCTGACTGGGTGGGCCTCACCTCCCTGGGCCCCGGCCTCCTTTCCCCACCAAGTGTCGAAAGATACACTGGGCCTCGCACTGCAGGATGGCGTCGTCGGGCTGGTTGGGGTGCTGCATGGCGACGGCCTGTGGGAACTCGCTGAGCATCCTCTGCTGGAAGGCCTCCAGCCTCTCGTAGTCATGGCCACGGCACACGTATTCTTTGTTCTGTCACGAACAGAAGAGCACACTCCAGGCCTTGCCGCGGCCCCACCTCCACGTGGTGTCCGTGGCGACTCGTGTCACAAACACGTCCTGGGAGCTCCGTGGCAGGCACGGGGCACGGCACTCAGTCCCTGTCCTAAGGGAGATGATGGTCGGTCGGGAAGAGAGAGGGACAGAAGGAAGAAGTGCGCTGGGACGTGGCAGTGGGGAGCAGGGCACGGGCTGCAGGACGCCTGGAGGGAGGGCGCCTTACCCAGGGCGGGCGCTAGGCGGCGAGTGGGAGCTTGGAAAGAGCCAGGCCTGAAAGGCGTCCTGGAAGGTCCACCTGGGTTCGCTGGGCAGAGAGGAGGGGGGAGGGCAACCTAAGTGGGGAGAGCGACAACAGGCAAGACAGGAAAAGGCGCAGCTGAAGAGAAGGTGCACAGGAGAACTGGTGGGAGGGAGACTGCGGGTGTGTGCCGTGGCCAGCTGGAAGGAAAGGCTCAGCGCTGCCCAGGGCCCGGCAGGTATTCAGTAGCGTTCACGGCAGCGATTCCTTTGCAGACGTGTCAGCAGAACACGCTGGTATCATTCTAAACACTTACTTCTTAAAGCCTCGTATTACATCACTTTTGGTTTGGGTTAGGTCTCATTTTTCTTCCCTTTGTGGACTGAAGTCGTGACAAGGCACCCTCAACCCTGCTGCTCTGTCCGCCTCACAGTTGGTCAAGAGTGAGTGGCTGGGGGAGGTTCCTTTGAAGCCCTCTGGTGACTTCTGTCTGCTTGCCCAGCTGCCTCGCCAGATCCACTTTGACAAAGTGGTGTCAGGCACTGGCAGCCCCTCCTGGCATGCCTTCGGAGGTAGAGAAAGAGGTCTACAGGGCCCGCCATATGCTTCCTGGTACAGGGATGACCACAGGCCGGGCCCTGGAGGACCTCGCCCTTTTGGGACAGGATTTGTAGCCCCCAAGCCCCCAGCTAAGGCTGGGCCGCAGGTCCAGATGGATCAGAATGCAAGGGCAACCCCAAGGTCAGAAGGAGCAGGAAGGACTCTTAAGTGGAGCAGACCAGTAGTCAAACGTCAGAGACATTTCTAAGTCCTTTGCTCGACATGGAGAACTGACAAAGAAGGTAATTACGAAGAAGTGGCCTTTTCACAACCACTCGCAGATGTCCGACCCTTACCAGTGTCTGTTCGTGGGTCAGATGAAGAGAAACAGAAATTCCTCTAAGAAGGGAGGGCTAGATGTTTTCCTGACTCTGCGCCCATCAGTAGGCAATCACGTTTGTGAAGTGGGGTAGGCAGATGGTCTAGAGAAACCAAGCCGACAGAGCTAAAGTAACCGATGACCTATGTGCTCAGGAGAGGCGAGGGAGCAGCCTGGCCTTCTGGGGAAGACCCAGCAGAAGGAAGGCGCACAGTGTTGACCTTGAGGCTGGTTGTTGGTTTCAAGTTTGCTCGGACGGGAGCCCCAGCCTCCCCCGTAAGACAGATCTGGTTGCCACTGCTTTAGACTCTGTCCTTGCCATCTACAAGGCAAACAGCTACCTCCTCTGGGACTTCTTCCATTTGCCACAGATGAAGCGAGCAGCTGAGAGAAGGGAGGTGGACATGCGGCTAGGCCGGGCTGATTTGCGGCATGAAACATGGCTCCTAGGGAATACTCCTTATGTGGAGACAGGGATGAACTGACAGGTGACATCTCCCAACAGCCCTTGTTACTCTCCTCCCTTACTGGCACCCTTGAAACCACGTCTGAACATTCAGACGGTCACTGCAAGCATCGTCTGGGTGGCTCGCGTGCAGGTTCTACACCAGGTCCCTGGGATGCTGATGTGCCCTGTGGCATAAGCATGGGGGACGGGAGCCGGGTCGAACCATGACGACTTCCTGTTTGGCAGGGACAGATGTGGGGACATCAGGGCCCAATTTTGTATCATACATCTAAAATAACGGTGTTTTGAAGTAAAATCGGGTATATGATATACAAATTGTGGGAGTTAAAAAAAAGAGAATAAAATGGCAACAAAGCATAATTTGCAAAGATGAAAAGAGAAAGAAATAAGTTACAGGGCCCAGAATTATTTGTTTGTCCAAGGACTTAACAGAGATGGTTTTGGTTTCTAACTCTTGTGCAATTCCTTCTTCTGCTCACCTCTGCCTCCATTGCTGTGAAATTATCTATGCCGATGGGGCAACAAACATGCCACTTGTAAAATGCCTGAGGTGAATGGTCCCTAGGGAGTGAAGGAGGCCTAGAGAATGAGGAGGTCTCTACTGACTCACCCTCTGCTGCCAGAACCGCTAGAACGAAATCACAGCTTTCTTAGGGGTCACGATTAGGCAGAGTGTGCCCACTGTCCCTGTCACTGTTACTGGTTCCTGCAGAAATCATTTTCCTTTTAGCCTGGAATGATGACTGCCCAGGAAATGTGCAAGCTGACCATCCTTACATCTGAAACGTGGTTAGCCTGGACTCTGTTGCTAGCAGACTGGCTTTTTTAAAGGAGCATTAAGCACAGTTGACCTCTGATGTGATACCAAGCTTATTACTGCTCACTGGCAGACCCTGGTCACTGCCTGTAGGAACCTGGTTGATTTGGTGGGAAAACCACCCTCACGTAGCTACAGAACAGTACAGTGGAGTAAAACAGAGTCTAAAGTAAAACCCAATGCCTTTTGTTGACTGGTCAGTCCTTCAAAAAAGAAGTATTCAGTAGACTACAAAGAAAGGTTCCAAAGAAAAAAAAGCAGACAGGCAATAAACGACTTCTGTGTATAGTATGATCTAAGTTGTCGTGACCACCTCACGGACTCACCCGGAGGAAGAAAGGAAACTTCCGGCCGTAGAAGCCGACCCGGAAGAACTCGGGCTCCAGGCGCTGCTGCTCCATGATGTTGTCGTAGTAGCTGGCTTCCATTTTCTGTGAATGAGAAAGGCAGTGGCCTTCAGGTGGGCTTGACCACTAGTGGCGTTCAAAGCAAGTCGTCCCAGGCCCAAGTACACATTGTCTTTTGGAAAGAGGACACAGCGACTCAGTCTAGTGAGCCTGAGAAGTGAGCCCCAGAGAGCTGCATGAGGGAGGAAGCCCTCCTCCCCCGCCGTCATCTGACAGCGGCATGGGACAGGCCTGCCCCTGTTGCCCAGACAGGCTGTTCTGTGCGGCTTCCCAGCGGGTGGACTTTGCTCCACGGAGACCCAGGCTTCCCACACGTTCAGGTCACACGTTTAATACGTATTTAACAAATTTTGTTCCCTGGGAATTTTCAGGTTTCACTGGTATCAGTACACCGACTGACCTGGGCTGCTGCTGCTGACAGGAGCTAAGGGCAGTTCTCAGCACCGCTCTGCACCAGTGCAACCATATTGCTTTCGTTCATCTCTCATCTGACTAAAGATGCTAGCAGTCAGTGAGGAAGGCCCAACTGTCAGCATCGCTGGTACTGGTTCCAATTTAGGAGATTTTAAACTTTAAAAGTTGAACTAATATCCACAATGTCTGGCATTTCCAAGGTTGGGAAGAGTTTTAGTCTGGGCTGACCTGGCTTCACGTTCAGAAAAATGCACCGAACGCCGACTGGAAAGAGAATTCTAATGCACTCAGTCCAGTCGGCCTGCAGGGAAATCGAAGCCTTCCAAGTCCAGTCGGGAAGCCGCTGCAAGAGGGCCATGTCAATTACACAGGCCCAAATCCTGACTGGGGTCGGGGACACAGCAGGGCTAGCTGCGCTGCCAAGGGTGCAGGCGGAAGGCGAGCCGAGACTGCTGGCCTCTCTCTGCCGACGAACCTGGCACCTGTTAGGACTCAACCCCTGCACCAGACCTTACAAAGTTTCAGACGAAGCACCCTGGACACAATCCTCTCAGGAAGAGCTTCTTCGTGAAGTTAGGCGGCCTCCTCCTCGTTGAAACCCCCACCCGATCCTGCATTTGCTGCTTCTCTCTCCCCCTCTTCCCGCTGGGTACCGGTGGCCCCTGGGGTCTGGATCATACAGTTGTTGGTAGATGTGTTTTGGTTCCCTAGCCAAACTGCGAGGGTCTCGAAGGCAAACACCTCGGCCTCTGCGCCTCCTGTAATGCCCACAGCTGGAGCCAGGGCTGGGCCTGCAGGGAAGGCTCACTCAGAAACTGCCGCCAGGAGAGGCACCTCCCATCAGCGGTGGGGCGGGAAGGAGGCAGGCTCACCCGAATCCAGCTGAGGCTCTGATAATCGTAGAGGCTCTCGTACTGACACGCCAGTTCCCTGCACAGTGGGATCCCAAACTCCCAGCTCTGCGGCAGAAATAGGAACAAGGTTTCAGCACCTCGGGCATCTCAGGACGGCCCGAGCCCGCACCAAACACATCCGAGGGCGCAACCAGACGCCTCTTGCGACCCGCACGTCACGAAGAACATATGCTCAAAGCCAACGTGCAGGGAACGTGCAGCACTTCGGCGTTCTAGCACAGCCTTCGGGTTTCTACTGAGAGGTCTCCTGAGAGGTCTCCGCCTTCCAGAGGCGTCCCCCACCCGCCCCCGACCACCTTGTCACAGACAGGCGCCTCCCACCCATCCTGTTGCACCACTCTGAAGCTATCTTACTTAAAAGCGGGATTTGTTTTTGTTGTATTAACCTGCATGAGGTCAGGGACCCTGTTTATTGACTTCATCTCCAGAATCTGGAACAGTGTCAGGCATGAGCAAGCACTCAATAAAGATTTTTTTAAATAAAGGAACCAGTCACTTTTAAATTAAGATCATTTAAACTTGGAAATGGAAACCAACAGGAAGTGGCCACCCGAGGACTTGGCGGTAGGCCTGACAATTTCCTTTATACGAAGACTCGATCTTACAGCAGGCTTTAGAGGGTCCTCGCCTCCTCAGGCCCCGGGCTGTTTCTGTAGTGTGGCTCCTGTCATGGTGACAGGCTGAAGCGACCTTCTCTAAGGGGCATGTTGTCCATTTCTTCTCTTTAGTACAGAGCTTTCTCTCTTGGCTAGATTGGGAATTATTGGTTTCTTGATATTTTAGACGGGTTCTTCTCTCTAACTTCTAAATACTCATTAAGATTTTTATATTATATGAAATTTTAAACATATAGGAAAACAGAACAGAAGAATGAACTCCAGCCTTAACAATGACCAACTCATGGCCAGTCATGTATCATTCCTGCCCCATCCACTGACTCTTCCCCACAGTTTTTAAAGCAAATCTCAGATATCATAGAATTATACCCATACGTATTCCAATATAAATGTTTAAACAATAAGGACTATATTTTTAAAAAATGCTATTTGAAAGAGCATCAGGGAGAAGGACAATACTTCATTCGGGACTGCGTTTCCCCCCAAAAGCATGCTCTTTCTATCCTTTGAGGTGATTATTGCCATATGGATTGAAACTGCAGGACCAATGAAAGAGGTTGAGACAAACCAAAGAGAATTTTAGATAGACCTTGGCTCCCTGCCCTAATGCAAGGCCTCTACCCTAGGGCACCAGAAAGACTCTCACGCCCTACGTTGCAGCTTTCATGGGGCACACGTCTGTCCTCTCCCCGACTCTAAGTGCTGCTTGGGCAGGTTTCACAAGGGCCCACAACAGGGTCTGCCTGGCAGGCAGCTAGTTAGGCCACTGAGCTGTGTGCAGATTTTCGTCCCGCCTACCAAGAGTGCCCTGTGGGGATGGCTCATGCAGGTGATGAGGGCCCCGTGTGGGCTAATGGCGTGCTGCCTGCCAGAGTAGCACCCAGTAAAGCAGGTCTTGTCCCCTACTGGGATTGGTGCTCATCACCTTGTTGGCAGCTCTGCCCTAATTTGCAGCCCTGCTGCTCCGAGCCCTCCCCCGCCCCCGATGAGCTTTGCAGGGAGCCAGGACCAGGAGTGTGAAGACGGTCTGCCAGCCTTGAGGGTTGTGCTAGGAAACGAGTTGGTCTTGGGGTTTGGGGAGCTGCCTCCACACAGAGAAGGGAATGTGCTACAGGTACCATGCATCCAGTTTCCTTACTTCTGGCAGGAGGTAAAGCAACTCTAAAACTCCTTACCAGTCTTGAAATCCAATCACTCTACCAGCTCTGGCAGATGTGAACTGCCTTGTTACCCATCCGACAGGGATGGCACAAAAGTCGCACTGACTTAGGGCTCACTCTCATCAAATTGGAAAAGAAGGTAAATCCTGGGGCTCCAGACAGCAGTCTTTGTACTTCCTTTACACACAACGTATTAGAAGCAAAAGACTTTATTTCTTCCGAGGAGCATGCGCAATAGCCGTCCTCAGGAGGAGAGCCCAAGCCCAGCCCACAGAGAAGGCTGGTCCTCTGATGGTCTGTCGGCCAGATAAACAGGGGCCGGAGGCCTCTGTCCAGCTCCCCGTCCTGTCTGTTCCCTTTGCTCTGCGACGAAGGACTAGCTCGCATCTTCACACCTCCCCTGCCTTCTTTCGACTCCCGCTCTGCCACACCTGCCTTTGGAGTGTCCCTCTCTCCTTATCTGGCCCAGGAGAGATGGCCTTCTGTGGACCAGAGTCTGATTCGCCCTGGTGCAGCTTCCTGGGTTAACCACTGCCCACTGGAGGGAATGGCTTAGGGCGAGGCTGTGGTCACAAGGTGAACTTCTGTCTCAGTCCCTCTTGGAACTCAGGAAATAAACACGGGACCAAAGGCGACTGGGCGGCCTAAGGCCGATGACAGAGAGGCTGGCAGTGTGTGAGAGAAGGGCCGGTGGGCCCGGGTTGCGAGGCAGGGCGTGCTGGCGGTACTGAGGGCCAGAACCCCTTCGCCTGCCCCTCCCTGGAGCCTCTGCTTTTCTTGCCCTCCTCCTGCTGCCAAGAAGCCTACGGGGGCGCCTCCCCTGCAACAGCCAGGCTTGGCTTTTCTGGAGCTATTTTTTAAAAAACCCCAAATACTTTCAAGTAAAACTGATTAGCCCTACCCATTGGTTCTATCAAGTATCAAGCAAGGCACAGAAACAGAGTTGGCCTTCTGTCTGAGCCCAAAAGAATGAATGTGCTGAACACCCTTTTGAGGATGAGCTCATGAAAAGGCTCACTGAGGCCTCTGTACGCAGCACAGAACCTGCGCCCCCAGCGGCTCACAGCAGAGACAGGTTGCTAGGAGCGGGGGCTCCCAGAGAAGACCCGTCTCCCCTCCCTCCCACTCACAGCACTCAGGCAGGGTTTGCGTATCGGTCCCTCGTCCATACTAAGGTTGAAACGCGCTTTTCTAAACACTTCTGCAGTGTGGGCTAAGGAGGGGCCGTTAACGCTCACACGCCCCACCGGGAGGTCTGATTAGAGGGAGGCCCCTCCCTGCTCTGCACTCCGCCCTGGGAAAGCAAAAAGAACGAATACACTGACCGCGCGGGCCACTCACACCAGGCTCATGCCATCTCCTGCGAGCGTGGTGGGCTTGCCGGGCATGTGGGTAAGTAGAGGCACCAATGGGCTGTGTGCCAGGACGAAAGGCCTCAAAGTGTCTTTGTGTGGGGCCCTAAGTGCAGCCCAGGACCCACAAGACAGGGAGGCTTTGGGCCAGCACCGCAGGTCAGGAGCCTCTGGCTGAGGCCCGAGCATGGCCTCCTTTCTGGGCTAGGCTGCAGGTCCTGCGGTTTCGGCAAGGTCCTTGCTGACTGGTGCATTCCCTGCTTGGTGAATGTCTCTGATAAACGCAGACGTCTCCTATGTTATGTAAAACCGACAAATGTCTTCTGACTTACGGGCAAAAGTCATTAATGTTTAAATTTTTATTATGATGAAAAAACTCATTTTAAAAAACCAATGTCCATTCAAGTTAGGAGCTCAGCCACTATAGTTCCCTGAATGAGCCTATTTTAGTTTTTAAAACTAAGCTGAGTAATGAAGGGACAGCTTCAACAATTTTAGATGCCAGCCTTTCCAGTGTGTGGCCGGAGGGCCCAGGGAGCGCTCCCAGAGACGGGAGCGGATGGCCGGGCAGGCCCCAGAGGCCTGAAGCGATGCTGACCATGCCTGCCAATCCCATGGCTTCGAGTCTGGTGGAGGGTGAGCCCCGTGAGAGGAGCCTAAGCTGGGCTGTGAGGAAGAGATCCGGACGAGAACATGGACTGGTAGCAGGCAGTACCGCACTCCCTGGCTAGGATTCCAACCCATTCATTTGACAGCTCATTTTAGACGGCGAACTAGGAAGCCACAGCAGTTAAGTGAGTCTAGTGAGTAGAACGGGGGCCCAGGAGCCCTGCTATAATAGCATTAGCACTCGTAGCTGTGAAAAGCTGCCACGTGGGGTTGTCTCTTACACCCCCGATCTGGAACTGGCCTCCGAGCCACAGAATTCAGCTGGGTTTTATTTTTCTTCAGGGAAAAACATGCTGCCTCCAAATCTGATGCACACACATGGGCGTCCACCCATTCACCACCCCGCACACCACCCTCCACAGCTGCTGCCGTCCCTACAACGTCGAGAAGCCGCGCATCACACAGGGGTGGGGGCCCGAAGGCTTGCCCGGCGGCCGTACCTTGCCTTTGTTGAAGTAGTGGATGACCTTGCGACACAGCCCCTCTTTCCGCTGCCACTCAGGCTGAGACGGGTAGTGGAGGAATTCCCGCAGGGGCCGCTCCTCCCACTGCAGCAGCTCGCAGTAGAGGAGCAGAGTGAACGCAGCCTCTGTGGGGACAGGCAATAGGGAGGTCCGGGGGGCTGCGCTGAGCGTCATAGCACATGTAGCCCCGGTCAGGGACACTGGATCCCAAAGGTGAGACAGAGGGGCTTCCCAGCCAGCCAGGAACCCTTGACCATGGCAGGAAGGAGCCAAAGGCCCTGGCAGACACCTTCCTCCACAGGTGAGCCTGGTCTCACCTGTTCTGGGCTCCAGGTAAAGTACGGCCCAGCTACCTGAAAGTCTGTGCACAGGGTGCCTTGCTTTGGGAGACACGGACATGTCAGAGAGAACTCTTGGGTCCCTTTTTGCTCAACTGACTAGAGCTTTCTTTCTGAGCTTATGCGAACTGGCTCACAGGGATGAGCACTGGCCAAGGGTTCTCTCTGCCCTCCCTAAGCCAGCTTCAACGTCTCTAGCTCCATTTTCTGATCTCGGCATGGCCCGGAGGTGCTTTCTCACCTCTGCTGCTTCTGAAAGACCAGAGGGGAGAGGTGTGAATGGTGGTACATTTGTGACGGGCCTGGAGCCAGAAGCTCTATTCCTGGGGGAACCTGGAGCTGATGGTGGACCTGGGGCACAGGCCAGCGACGGCTTACCCTCTACGTGGAACAGTTGGGGAGGGTTGTATGAAACGGCAGCAGCTAAGCCCCGTGGCTCCCCGAATCTCTAGGAATGCAACGCACTGAATTACAGCCGCTGATTAGGGCCCTCACTGCGCCATCTGCTCGTCCTGTTCTAGTTGCTCCTTTTAGCGGCGTCTCCTACCACAAAGCTAAACGGAATCGGCGCTCGCTTCTGTCTGGCCTTTAAGGCCCTATTCAAGTCTGTCCCCACGACTACGAAGAATCTCGTTTCTGATTATTTTGTGACCCACTTCCAATTTCAGCCAGGCCCACTTGTTTGCAGAGATGCTCCCGGCTCCTCCTTACCCCTGCCTCTCTGCCTGTCCTCTGGCCACGGGACCCTCCTGCTCTGAGATGCACATGCCTCCTTGCTGGATCTGGGAAGACCTCTATCTCTGGAGACAAGCCCCTGAGGCACTCAAGACCTACCTTTAGAGCCTAGGAAACAATATATTCTTTCCAGATGTCATTCCTGAGGTCCCTAGAGACAGGCCGGCACCCCCTCTAGTCCAAACCCCTGAACTAGCCTCTCAGTCATGACCCTGTCCTCCAAGAGTTTAGTAAATGCCGCCACTGACACACAGAGTTCACCAAAGTCTACCACTTCGCTACCTCGCAGGGGGTCGTGGGTGGATGGGGATGCGAAGAATGACAGATGCAGCCCGGTCATCAGATTTAATTCTTGCCAAGCTGGGCTGTCAGAAAAGGTGGCATCTGTGCCAAACACTCTCTAACATCTAGAGATAAGGAAAAAAGCTTCTGTCTTTCTATAATCCATTTAATTCTAGTAATGTGTATGGATAAGAATAGCCCGAATTTCTTGGTCTACCACATAAATTTAAGTTGTACGGCCCAAGGGCTAAGATGTAGTGGTTGGTCGCCACAGTGAAGAAGGGACTATTTGGGGGGAACTATGGTACCAGGTGATCAGGCAGGACACACATGCACACACATACCCTCCTGACTCATAGTGGTGCACAATAAACAGCATGTAACAGGCACACTGAAATGCTTTTAAATTTGTTCTACTAGTAAAGGCCTTAGTACCGGATTACGTTGTGGGTACGATGGAAGGCCTGTCAGAAAGTAGATGATCACTCTCCACACTCGCCGTGGAGAGCTCACTGTGGGCTGCTGTGTAGCTGCAGGGGAAGAGCCCAGACTGCATGGCAGGTGGGCCAGAGCATTCTAGATGTCCCCGGGGTAGACAGATGTACCCGTGCTATGGCCCCGCTCAGTTCCAGCTGCACAGACTCTAGGAAAGGCTCTGCTGATGGGCGACAGCGAGCTCAGGGTGCTCTGAACCTGGCCCAGTAGAATGTGGACGTCACCTTTGAGGGCTCAGAGCAGGTGAATAGGAGGCAGGGAGAAAGGAACCGCCCAGGCAGCCGAGGTCATGGCACAAAGGTCCAAGTGGGCATCCCGCCTGCGCTCCCTCAGCCACGTTACAGAGGAGCTGAGGGAAAGGAGTGAGGGGAGGGGCGCAAGGCCCCAGCTCCGTGCAGAGCTGGCGGACACCAGTCCAGGCCCTTAATGCCAGCTGTGCATATCCGTCCAGTCTACCCTCTCGGAGACGTGGCCCTCCCTCTCCTGCTCACCTGTGTAGTTTTCGGCCTGCAAATGCATGTCACAAAGCTTATGGATGTAGCGAATGTACATCTCTTCTTTGTTAATCTCCGATTTGTAAAAGTTCTGTAAGAAAGAAGGAAATACACATAAAGATGGGAGAGGCTGCCACCCACAAAGGCCATACCAGAGCTCCAGGGAGCTGGCTAGAGCCCCAGGTGTGCTGGACGGGACAGGACGGCAGGCCGAGGACACCTGCTGGGGGTGAAGCCACTGGCAGGCCTGTGGGAGCCCTGAGGAGTGAGAAAGCAGAAGAGTGCCTGGGGAGTGGGGGTCAGGGCAGACTGGGAACTGGGGTATGTCGGGCTGGTGGGGCCTGGCCAAGAGGCCAGGCTAGAGCTCCGTCTAAAAGAGCAGCTCATTTCATGTCTTTCCCAAGAGGGAATGTGACCGAAGAGAGCAGGGCTCCAGGGTGCCGGTAGTGGGGATGATGTCCTGACTCGAAGTCTCAGGCTTCCAGCCGCGGGCTGCGGGAAGGCCAAGCCAACCGCAGGGCAGGACGGAAATGGCTCTCCTGGGCGGACAGAGGAGGAGCCCGTGCCTCTCACCATCAGGTTAACAGTGCAGCCGATCTTCTTGTTCTCCGTCTCCTCTCCTTTCATGCAGTCCCTGGAAGTGAGAGCACAGATGAGTGTCCCCTGGCTCAAAGGAGTGTTACCGAGGCATCCGTGTGACCTAACCCCAGACCGGAATGCCCTCCACAGATGACAACTGTACTGCGAGCTCTTGGCCCACTCCGAGGGCTCGGAGATCTCTGGTCCACTGAACCCCTGGTTTGGTGGTGGAGTGTGGAGCCCAGATGCTACAGCAGGGTCCTCAGCACAGAAGACTGTGTCAGCAAAGGAGGAGGTTGAAACCTTAGGTTCCCAAAAGCAGAGGCACCGAGCTTTCCTTGAAGGTCAAGTTCTATTTTATAGGACAGAGTTAAACAGAACCAAGATGCTCAATTCCAGGGACCCAGCTTCAAAACTGTGGCCACAGCCACCACAATGTGGCGGCCACGTTCACCGCCTCGCTGGCCTTCTCCCTACGGTCTCTTTCCTGTGTGCTGATCTTTGGGGTCCCTTTGCCTGGATGCAGGGCCTTGGAGCTTCTTTCTGAGGTAGGGGTGGCCTCGGCCGGGGCTGAGCTGCATTCATGCTGACAGGGTTGGGTATAGAAGGGATCTAGGCTGGCCCAGAACATGGGACCACTGAAAACGATCCTTCCCAAGGGAGAGAGGGGACGTTCAAAGCCAAGCTCCCCCGGGCAGGGGCAGAGGCCTGGCACAAGGAGATGAAGGAGAATGAGAACCAGACCAGTGGATCCGGCAAGAAGCCTCCTGTACACAGAGCCAGCCAGAGTCCCATCTGCCTGCTGCGTCTCTGTGTGTGATGCCCCCTCTGCTCTGGGGAAGATACAGCTCCTTGTGCAGGTGTGTGTCAGCAGCTCTGGGAAAAAGCCACTAAGAGAATTCATGGACCACCAGGGTCGGGGGGAAAGCATGTCTTGGCTTTGCTCCACTGACAGGCACGGGGTCCGGTGAAGGACTGTGAGTTGGGAGCCCCAGTGCAAGTCACTGAGCCTCTGGATGGTCACTGGACAAACTCAGTTATCTCTACATTCCTAGCTGCATCCCAACACCAAAGGGATGTCTTCTTTAAGGTGACTTCTTTGAAAGAAAAGAATAGCGAAAACCCACACCACTGTCACGTTGTTCCGCAAAGCCGAGTCTCTGTCCTCCTCCGGCACGCTGCTGTTAGAGTCGGCAGCATTGTGGGGTTTGGGACCAAAGCCCTTCTTTCTAGGTTTCCCTTGTCAGCACTTTCGCCCCATAAGGCATCTGGTTCTCTTGCAGCCAGACACGGGGATCCTGAAGATGCCACTGCAGAACCTGTCCTTCAGTGCTAGCAAGGACAGGAAACTGCTATGACTTTTCAAGAGGAGTGAACCTGAGGGCCAGATGGCCAACTTGTTCCAAGCAACCCACAAAGTGGCAGGAGGCATCTGCCTCTCCAACAAGTTGCTCCCGTGGAGGGCAGTGAGACCTCACCTAGCTCCTCTGGCATTTAATGGTTTGCTTTTTCTAGAAAGTAGCTGAAACATTTACCAGGCATCACCTTCTGTCTGGCCATAACCGGAAATTCACGGCCAAATCAATTAAACAGAAAAGCGATGGCCTCAACACGGATGGCGGGGCATCCCTACACACCTGGGCCCAGCACCGCCTCTCCCGACCCCTGCAGCGGGCCCTTCTCTTCTGTGCGGCTACTCAATGGAGAGAACACCTTTTAAAGCTGACTTGGGAGCGGCCACTGCTCCTTCTTTCACTTTCTCTGGAGGATGAGCGGGGAAGATTCTGCTGAAAGAGGCTTCCGAAGCATGTGGCAGTGGCAGTGGCGGCGGCTGTGCCTAGACCAGGTGGCCGGGCAGCCCTCGGTGAGAGAGGAGGGGCCCAGGAAAGGCGGGCTCTCTAACCTCCAGTCGTCTCTTCCAGGTGGAGGTTCCACTTAGTGCCCCGAGGGCCTGGCAACCCCAGCTCTGTCCCTGTCTGTTGAGGGCACCAAGAAAACCCTGGGAAACACGGCTGCTACCAGCGAGCATTTTCATATCCGACACAGAACGTTAGGGATTCATGGGGAGCTGAAGGCATGAACGGCAACGGTGGGGAGGTGCTGCTGAGTGACTAAGGGTCCTGCAGCCTGAAACTGAGACTCACGCTACTCCAGGTCACTCTGGAGTACCATCTATTGATTATTTACATAATCGATGTATATAATTTTTAGCTTTAATAATTATTTTCTTAGTTTTTGTTGAACTAAACTGCATTGGAGCAGAAGAAGAGAAGTCCCTGGATCCTGCATGGTCTTCTAGAAACTTTATCCAATCAACCAATACGTACTATATACCTGCCAGGGACCATCAAGACTCTATGTAGGGGACCAGGGAGATAAGGACAAGGTCCCTGTCCTCAGGAAGCTGGCTCTCTTCTGTTGGGTGAGTCAGAAGGGGGACAAATGATCATCATCCGAGGTGACTCATACTCTGAAAGAGGTGTGAGGGGAGAGCCAGCGAAGCTCTCGTCTGGAAAAGCCCGAAGGGAAGGATGTGAGTGGTGACGACACGGATGGGGAGATAGGACATGGCTCTGGAGTCAGATAGATCTGGGTTCAAATCCTGTCAATGGCACGTCCTGCCAATGGTGTTTCCTCATTGGTAAAAATAAGGGTCACCCTTCAGGGCTGCTTATGAGATTAGAGACAATGTAAAGCACAGGGTATATTTTTAATGAACGGGAACTATCATAAGCATCATGGTGTTTCCTTTATGCTAATAAGGAGCAACGCTGGGAGGCTGGGGTGCAGAGCATGGGTATTGGGGGCCAGCAGGAGATAGGGACAGAGAGGTGAGCAAAGGCCAGTTTATGAAGGGCCTCTGATGCCAGGTGTAACAGTCTGAACTTGGCGTTGTAGGTACCATCACTGAGACAAGAAAGGGAGGAGAATAAAATTGGTTTCGGCCATGAGTCTGAGTTGCTTGTGCAAGGAAGGCAGAGAGGCAGCTAGAACTAGGCCTGGAAGCCTACAGAATTAAGTTCTGCTCTTTCTGGAAGGCCACGGTGAAGCGGGCCGGCCTTCGGTGAATGCTGCAGTGAGGAAGAGGGCAGAGTCTGCCCATCCTCCCTCCTGCCTGGTGGCAGGTGCAGGAGAGACTAGGGATAGGGTGTGGACAAAGGAGTCTCTTATCCTAAAAGGGGCTCTGACCCATAAGGCCCAGGAATAATGGGCGGACAAAGGAGTCTCTTATCCTAAAAGGGGCTCTGAAAAGGCCACCTGTGACCGCATAAGGCCCAGGAATAATGGGCTGAAGCTCACACAAGCACAACTGTGCTACGGGAAGAGGGGATGCTGAAGACACGAGCACATTCCTCAGAATTCCAGCTTTAAGGTCAAGAGGTACCTTACTTGGTGGGGAGTGTACCCTGACCAGAGAGAAGTCTGGGGTGTGTGAGACGATACCTGTAGTCAAGAAGGCGTTCCATGAGGCGGGTGACTGACGTCACGAAGGAAATGCCGGTCTCACGCCAGGTTTCCTGTTCGACCTTCTCCAGCAGGCTATCGGTGGAAGAGTGGGGGAAGCGAACACAACACGGAGCTCGTGAGCCTTCCCGGGCAAAAGAGCGAGGTCCCGAGGCCCTGGGGCCTGTGACGGATCTAGAGACGGCAGACTTACCACACTGCAGTCTCACCTGGGGTAGGGCCCAAACAGCTGGGTTCTACTCCATGCAGCAGAAAGCAAAGACAAGGCAATTACTGAAGTGGCAGCAACACATTCATAAATCTCCCAGTTTCCTGTACAAGCCCCTAAGAGCGCCACTGAACCGAGGGTGGGGTTTCAAAGCCCCGGCCCCTTTGTCTGTACACTGCGAGGTCTGTTCTGGAGCAGCAGCCAAGGAGGAGCCCACCGAGGGCTGGATCTGGCCTTGCCAACTGGTGGACTGCCTCCATCCCTGCTTAGGGCCATCCTCGGCAAACATACAAACCAGTCTTTTGGTGTAAAACAAGGGAAAGATTCCCACCAGTCTTGAGGGCCCAGCACGAGGGACAGTGAGCAAATTCAGGAGCTACGCCCAGCCATTTCCACTGTCGGGATGCTTCCACGCAGTGTGCCAGAGCCAAGAGCTAAATGCCCAGGTCCTCTTCTTACTTGCCAGCCCAGGCTTCTGGTACCCCAGGACGGCCTCTGACTTCCCCAAGAGCCTGGCTTCTGAGATCCTCTGCCTTCCCATGGGTCTCTCCTGAATCCTTTCCACACTGCCCCTCGCTCCCTAAGGTCTTGAAAGTCACCTGGTTTGGCAGGCCCAGCTAGGGGCCCACCACTGGGGACTCATGCCCTCAGCTGGCTGCTGATCATGCTGCTGTGACGGTGATGATAACTGTCATCACCTGCACAGAGCACCCGGTCTGAGCTGAGACTTCTGGGAAAGTGAGTGTTTCCCATGTGACCCGTGCGACTAGACAGCAACGGCAGGACTGTCGGCTCTGTCTCTGAGCTATGTCAGCAGCCCCCAGACTATGGTCCACGGAGCTCTGCTGTCCTGGGGACAGGGCGAGCTAGTCTGAGCGAGCATGCACGAAGCGCTGGTCACTACACCTCCTTTTGGAAACTTCTCACATCTTTCTGCACTTTAAAGGCTTGGAGAAATCCTACGACACAGAGGCCGGTTTGGCTTCGTTTAACTGAGTCTTCTAAACCCATCAGCCCACGATCCTCGCTTCTCCTTTTCCCAGCGAACCTACAATCACCTTCCCCGAAACATGAAACACGAAACACGAATTGGGAAATGCTGTTTCGTGCTATCAGTGGCCGGTCGGTTCTCAGACAGGATTTTAGAAGAGTTTATGAAACACTATTTGGTCAGGTAACTAGTGATCGCAAGCTATTTTTGTCCTTCTTCCTTTGTAGCAAGGTCATCCATCTGTCAAAGGCTTAGAAAGAGAGTTCTCTGCCTTAATTCCATAATTAGAAACATCTTCAGCTAAAAAAGAAATACTAAAAGATAGATTCGTTTTCACAAATTATAATTATTTAAATTTCAAGTAGATTCATATTTTATTGTGTGACTCATAAGGAACACAGTGGGCACGGTAGAGGAGAAAGACTCCCCACTCTTGACACCAGAGATCTGGGTCCTCCCCACGAGCTGCTTCTTACTGGTCATGTAACAGGGTGTGCTGACACTTCTCTGAGCTGTTTCAGCACCTCCATTCATCAGGACAATATGTGCCCTGCCTGCCTCACAGATGTGTTGTGAAGATTAAACAGAAAATGTCAAAACATTCTGAATACTGTAAAGTTTGAAGCAAATGTACAGTATTAGTACTGAAAAAAATGTTACCGGTTTGATTTAATATAGCCCTAAAACAAAGAAAATCTCTAAGCTGGAAACGAGTGACATGGGAGGGGACCCTAGAGCTGTAAAGATCTTAAGATTTTGTTTTTTAGGAAGATGAAACACCCAACATCGCTATCTGTCTGGGAGGACCACGGCCCCCCCTGAGTCTCTCCCTTTCGACCTAGCCCTGCAAGGTCTCCTGGCCTCCATGAACTCAAGACAGGAGCCATGACTGGCGGACCTGGGACAATCCTTGACGTCATTCAGTACAACCGCCCTGTATCACGAACGGGGAAACTGCCCTGGAGAGGGAGCGTGATTTGTTCAAGTCTTAAGATCCACGTAGTATTTTTCAGGCTGACCGCAATTTTATAAAGCAGAGATTTAATCCCCTGCCCCCTCCCCCATTCCAGCACTGGGCCGTCGCTGAGTCTACATGAGCTATCTGCCCAACTGGATACAGTGCAACCATAGAAGTCCAGAGTTATCACCTGTCTCTGTCTCTTCAGTCAACTACGGCCGTCCCCGACAGCATGCTGTCATGGTGCCACTTTTTACTTGACAAAAGGTGGGCCCTGTTACCACCAGGAACAACCTGGGTCTCTCCTGATACCCACACTCTGGAGCCAGCCCAGCAGGGGCAGCACCCCTACTTCACTGGCCCACTTCACCCCCTCCCCCAGCGTGGGGTGCTTGGGGCCGCAGTAGCTTACAGCAGGCCGAAGAGCTCCCTGTAGCTCTCGTCGCCTTTCCCTTCCGACACCATGCTGTCCAGCTTGTCGATCAGCTCGGCCTCCACCTAAAGGGAAGCAGAGACTGGTTAGCGGGAGCTGACCTCAGAGGAAGGGTGAGAAGTCCAGCTCTGCGGTAGGCGAGGGTGGCGGAGAAGTGCTTTCTATTTTGTCCTGGAGCCAAACAAATCCTACGGAAGGCAGGACCCAATGTACAGCATCGAGAAGCCACCCTGCCGCCCCGGCCAGGAAGACCTCCCGCTCCAGCGGTTTAAAAAAAAAGTCGGAACTTGCAAGCCTCAGGTAGTGTTTCCCAGTCTAGGGAGCAAAATGCAAGGATTCCCCAGAGACGAAAGTATTCTGGTTCCAAAAGAGGCCTTTGCCAAGTATTTTTCTTTCTTACGAAATGTTCAGTTGAAAGAGTTTGTATGTATAAAAAACCTTTGGTTAGAACTTCACCCTCTACTCAGCCGGTCCCAAAAGAAGCTGGCTGAGGGGCTGCTCCTTACTCTGGCCGACATCAGGCTGGGCTGAGGGCGATGGGTTTCCTTCAGAGATTCTCCTTCAGGATAAAAGCCTCCACTGTGTCACCACGGGACCTAAGGCCCGTGGGCCGCTGCCCCTGCCACTGCCTCATCACAGGCCCCTGTAGTGGTATCGGATTCCTACGCGGCGAGGCCCGTGGGGACCGTGAGGAGCAAGGCTGCACTCGCGGCCACTACACCGATCTGCAAGGCGCTCGGCAGCGCCGGCCACTTTTCTAATAGGTCTCATTAGATTTACTCTGAGGTGAGAAATCACTTGGAAGTGATGTGAGATAAAATCTCTTATATCCTTCATTAGCCTTGAAAATGTGGTGCTGCGATATTATTTATATAGATTTCATATGAGCAAAAAAAAGGCATGTCTTCATTTAATAACGGACTATATAAAAGAAGCATTTTCTCACTCCACACAGAGCCAAAGAGGCCCAAGGCAATGAAGCAATAAAAGAATAATTAAATTAGGAAATTCACTGGAGGCCATTAAGGTTTCCGAAACCCTGGTCTGCTGCATGGCCAGGATGGGCACCGTCACACATTTGTTTTGCCTGATGAGTCAGCTGACATGTCACTGGAAACAGAAAGTCTGAGACAAGAGGTCTTCAGGGATCGATGCCAACCAGCTCTTTCAGAGCAGAGGAGCAGAGCAGAGGCATCAGCAGGGCCCTGCCTGGAGTTAGGTAAACTCACGTAGAGCTGGGCCTTGAAGGCCAAGTGTCTTGTTCCCAGTTCAAAGCTTGCCCTGTCTCACTTGGTTAGTCAGCTGGCCACTAGCCTCCCAAGGGAAGCAGGGTCTGTTTAAAACAAGGGACCGCCCTTCGCACATGCGGGCATAGGGAGACTGTGTTTCCCAGAACAGGGAAAAAGTGGGGAGGGGACCTGCAGCGACAGAGAGTAGGACAGTAAGACATGAGTAGCAGCAGTTCCCTGGAGTTCTCCAAACGGGTCCCTGGGCCAGCAGCATCAGTCAGCAGAGATCTTTTAGAAATGCAAATTGTCAGGCTCCCACTGGACCAGAAACTCAGCAGGGAGGCAGCAGTATGTTTTAACAAGCCCTCCGGGTGGTTCTGATGCCTATTTCAGTGTTAGAACTTCTGTATTAGGCAAAGAAGCTGGTGGTGGAAGGGTATGGGGACATTATTTCATCGCCCTCTGCAGTGCTGATAAAGGAAAAAGTCCAAAATGGGGGATGCTGACGATCGATGTATGCAAAATCGATGTCTCTGAGCCAAACGAAGTGCTAAGTTCTTCAACCGTATCATGTTGTAATTGGCAATACTGACAATTTCAGGTTTCAGGAGTTACTTTTATTTAGAGAACCAATATCCCTGAAGTGGCACCTCCTTATTAATTCATTCAACAAACACATTTCTTCTTACGTATCCAGCTGCCTACTCCTGGACAAAATATTTACCTCTCGGCGCCGGAGTGTTCTCGTTTGTGAGATGGTAGTGGTGGTGAACACTCCTCGTCGGTGTCACTGTGCCTTACCTAGCTCTTGGGAAGTGCTCAATGAATGTTAGTTTTGATTTTCACCTCCGCGAACCCACCATGTCTCAAGCACCATGCTGGGTTCTACGAAATAAAAGCACACGAAACGGTCCTGGTTCCCAGCAGCTCGTCACATGGTAGGGGAGGCAGGACGACAGCTGCCACAGCTCGGCGTGGTCAGTGCTTGCATGGGACACACACAGAAAGGGTGGCCTGGGGTCTGGGAAGTCAATGAACTGTTGAGTTTCAAGAAATAGTGTAAAAAACTTAAGAAATGTTTCTGCTCTTTGATCCAACGATTATAGGTGAGGAGTTTACCTAAATAATTAGGAATGTATATGTTTTTTGCAATATTAACGACAAAAATTTGGAAGGAGCCTAGGTTTTTAAAACTGAGACTAAACGGGTGGGGTCCGGCCACGCGGCGGGGGACCCCTCAGCCTCCAAACGGGCAGCGTGACGGGAGGAGCGGTGACTGACACGAGGAAGCAGTGATGAGACGGTGCCATTGAAAAAAGGAGATACGAACTAACGTGCTAATTGTTCTAAAAAAGCAATGAATGCAATGATTCCATTTTTCAACTTAAGAAACCTCTGTGTATTAGGAAAAAATCTAAAAAGACGTATCCTGACTTCCGCCCCTACGAGTTACTAATAAGAGTAGGATTATGGGTTAAGTTTTTCCATTATAGTTTATCTGTATTTTTAATTTTTCTACATTAAATAAGTACAGCTTTTATAGTTAGAAAAAGTATTTGCAGTAGGTGGTGAGTAGGGGAGTAGTCAATAGAGCTAAAGCCATGGAAAGCACAGTTGGGATCAAGACCCAAAAAATCTTGGATTTCGGTGATTAGATGGTTATGGGTGACCTTCAACAGAGCAGTTTCAGCAAAAGTGGGTGCACCATACACGCTAGACTAAATAGGATGTTTCAGGTGGGCGGGAAGTGGAAAGAGTAGACTATTCGTTTAAAATATCTGATGGCAAAGGGAAGCAGCCAGGGTTTTCTAACTAGGAACAACAAAGTTTACGTGACTTGCTGGACATCAATTATTCATGACTGTCTTACTGGGGAATAAAACACAGCCCATCAGTTGAGTCTTGGAATATGAGACAAATGAGCTCCAACTTAGTCTTCCACAAAGCTAACCTTCTTTGCTGTGTTAGTGACTCTGGAATGCGGCCCAGCCCGCTTTTTGACAGACTTGGCTGACCGCTGGTGCAGACCTGCCATGTCACCTACTTCTTGGTAACTGAGTTCTCTCACCGGGTACAGGTATGATAACACAGAAAAGCAACGTTTTTTTTTTTGTTTGAAGTTATTATTTCCTGCTCACTTCAACAATGGATTCCTATTTTAAATACTCTTTACCCATGATAAAGAGCATCTATAAAAAACCTAGGGCCAGCATCATAGTTAATTGTGAAACACTGAACGATTTCTCCTAAGATTAAGGAGGAGGATGTACACTCTCATCACTCTTAAATTTAACTTCAGACTGGAGGTCCTAGCCAGCACAATGAGGCAGGGAAGAGAAATAAGGGGCATACGGATTAGAAAGGAGGAAATAAAATTGTCTCTATTCACAAGTGACAGGAAAATCCCAAGGAATCTACACAAAGTGCTTCTAGAACTAATAACAGTGTAGCAAAGGTGCAGGACACAATGCTGATATACGAAAACAACAGTCTTTCTATATTCTGGCAACAAACAACTGGAAAACAAAATTTAAAAATCAGAATAACATATAACACCATCAAAAAGTAGGAAACACTTACATATAAACCTAACATGTATAAGATCTGCATGCTGGAACTATAAAACACTAATAATAAAAGAAATCAGAGAATATCTAAATAAATGGAGAGATATACTGTCTTCACAGAGTATTATTAAGATATCAATTCTTCCCAATTTGATCTATAGATTACAATGCAATCCCAATCAAAATCCCAGCAGGAACTTTTGCAGATATTGATGTATTGATTCTGAAATTTACAGGAAAAGAAATTGGAATAGATAATACAATATTGAAAACAAACAAACAAGCAACAAAGTTGGAGAATTGACACCATCTAATTTCGAAACAGTGTGGTACTGGCGAAAGATTAGACATGCAGATTAACAGAAAGACCAGCGAGTCCAGAAAGAGATCCACATCAATTGATTTTTGACAAAGAATTGTCTTTTCAACAAAAGTGCTGAACAGCCATATGCAAAAAAGAAACCAAAAAGAGCCTTAACCCATACTTTACACCTTACACACAGACTACCTCAAAATAGATCAGATATCTAAGAGCAAAATTAAAAACCTTCTAGAAGAAACATAGGAGAAAAATTTTGTGGTCTTGGGTTAGGCATAGAGTTCTCAGATATAATCCTAAAAGCGTGATCCACATAAGAAAAACACTGATCAAATGGACTGCACAAAAATTAAAAATTTTTGTTCTTGAAAGATATTGTTTAGTAAGTGCAAAGGCAGGCTAAAGACTGTGAGAGAATATCTGTAAATCATATATTCAATAAGGGACCTATATCCAAAATATATAAAGAACTTCAAAATTCCACAATAAAAAAAAAAATTAAAAACAAACACTAATTTTGAATAATCATTTCACCAAAGAAGTTATAGAGATGGTAAATAAGCACATTAAAAGATGCTCAACATCATTAATCACTAGGAAAATGGAAATTAAAACCACAAGGATATATAACTATACACCTATCAGAATGGCTGAGATCAACAGAGAGACTATATCGAACATCGGTGAGTCTATGATCAACCACAACTCTCATGCACTGCTGCTGGGGCTTCAAAACAGTACAGTCACTTTGGAAAACAATTCGACAGCTTCTTATAAAGTTAAACATACGTTTACCACGATACTCAACACTCCTATTCCTAGGTATTTACCCAAGAAAAATGAAAGTTTATATCCATACAAAAATCTGTAAAGAAATGTTTTTTAGCAGCTTTATTCAAATCACTCGAAAGTGGAAATAACTCAAATGTCCTTCAAATGGTGAATGAATAAACTACTACTCAGCAACAGAACAACTGACCGATGCAACGACGTGGATGCATCTCTCAAAGGCATCACGTTACGTGAAAGCCAGTCTCAAAGGCCACAGTCTACCTGACTCCACTACACAACGTTCTGGAAATAGCACGCCTATTGTGATGGACAACAGATCAATAGCTGCCGCAGGTTAAAGGCAGGGGAAGGTTCTGACTATAAAGGGGCAGCAAGATGGAAGTTTTAGGAATGAAAACAATACTGATTGTGGTAGTGGTTCCATGAAGTTAGTTATGTGTTTGCCAAAACTTACAGAACAGTAAATCACAAAGAGCGAATTTTTACTTTTTATAAATTTAAAAATAAATAAAAATTTACTCTGCTCCTTCCTGTTACACTCGCTTTAAGACCATTGGTTCATCCCAGAATCAGAGTTGGTAGGGAGCTTAGTGAGACACTGGCATTGTCCCCAAGTCACTACAGAAATTTCTCCTAGAGGCTTCCTGGGAGCTTCTGCTTGAGAGCCAGCAGTAAAGAGAAACTGCCCATCTCCCAAAGCAGGCCAGCTTACACTGGACAATTCTTGTCACTGACAAGTTATTTCTTTTATTAGCTAAAGTCTTCTTCCCTACCACTGACCCTTCTTGGTCCTAGTTCTATTCCCTGGATATAGATATATGGCCAGGGGCCATCTCCTCCACCTTAGAGGTGGCAGAAGAACTGCCCAGAGGGATAGCCTGAAGTCACTCAGAAGCCAAGGACTTACATCTCTCTCTGTGTAGAATTCCGTGAAATCCTGGGCTCCCCTGAGCCATGAGAAGTCATGTGGTTTGGCTATAGCCCTAGAAATGCCTGCACCATGCACCCTGGGGATCCTCCAGAAAGGAAGAACACCACGCTCCCAAGAGCCCTCTCCTGAATGAGCTGGGAGGCTGGAGTCTCGGTCATTTCCCCCTTGATCAGAAAGCTCCTTTCACATGATATTCGATCCCTTCCTCCGATCCTTTTCTGGCCTCTAACTTCATGAAGAAATTCCACAAGTTAATTCTGGCCAGCGAGTAAGGGAGAACCCTGGAACAGGATGGCCAAGCTACAGTTTATTTCCAGTGGAAACTTAGCCTGGCCATCTGGGTCACCTTCCTGGGCAGTAAGGGTTCATTCCAGAGAATACTCTGAACGCTGCCAGGGGGTGTCTTACCTGTTTGAAGTTGCCATTTTTCCTCTGCTCCCAGTCCATCATGTCATGAAAGATGGGAATCATGATATTCCGCACTTCCGGCTGTGGGACCAGCGTCACACCCAGAAAAGGACCGATCATTCCTGGGATGAAGTGGATCTTATGTTCACCTGAATGACAAAGCCCAACAGATGTTAGTTTATGCTTCCTCTGCTCCTTCCGTGGAAACCTCCCAAATGTGACCACAGCGCATGCTTGGATCTGCACTGGAAGCATCTGAGGACAGAGCAGGCTCTCTCTGGCGGCCTTCCGAGATAGCCCCCTCTTGGCTTTGTAGCGTTCGTGGATAAAACTAGCCTGGGCTGGTTAAAACAAGTGTTCGACAGGCACGAATTGCCTTTCCAAAGAATTTCCTGGGAGGTTCCACGTACTACCTGAATGTCATGCTGAGATCAAGGAACAGAGTTCACTGCTCTAGACAGAACAGGATTTCTGAGTATCCTGTGACAGTGTTTGAGTGTGTTTAGAACAGTCAGTGAGCAAGGGAAGCCCGCCCAACACCACACACCCCTGGGGTCCCCCTCCAGCCCAGAGGCATTTAGGTGATGAGGGTGTCAATGCACAGTCCCTGGTCTAGCTATGAGAGGCCTGAAGGCCATGGGCCTCTCTGCTGTGCTCAGCAGCGCCTTTGAGACCCCTCCTGAGTTGGTGGGAGGCTCTGCGCAGCCCTGCCCTACGCCCACAGCGTGGCGGAGAGTGTGTGCCCCCCACTGCCTGGCCCCTTGTCTTCGCGCTGCATTTCTGATGGTAGAACGACATCTGCTCAGACCAGCTCAGCTCGCCCCTCAGCTTTCCTATTGAGGCCTGCCCATGCGAAGTGGTGATGTGGGTTGCTGGCCTGCATCTGGGGCATGCACCCAGAAGCCAAGGCCGGTCCTGAGGACCATGGGACAGAACTTTTCCTTGCAATGGTGCAACAGAGTGAACCACCTGTTGGGGCTCTGCTTTAAGTCCTTCAGAGACTAAGGAGACAAACTGCGGGACTGTGTGATGACTGCTATAGCCAAGGCACATCAGTTCCCGAGGACCAGAAAATGTCATTTCCACCAAAAACAATGAGGCAGGATTGGCTTTATCCAGCAAATTTGGCATCTTTTTTGATTTCTTCCATTTTGAAAGCCCATCGAAAGAGCAAACGTTAGCCCCGGGGCTGATTCCACGTACTCCAGTCTCGGTGTTTGGTACAGTTGCTGGTCCCTTGTGTTCCTGAGAATCTCAGAGTCGATTTCAGGGTTAAACTATATACCCCAGTCCTGCTAGATGCAGGAAGAGTGCTGAAGCCGGGCAGCCTGCTTGGGGAAATGCATCTCCCTCACGGGCGGAAGGCCCTGGTGCCTGCCGGCTACGGCTTCTAGGGTTAATGACCGAGACAGCTAATGGAGGGCGGCAAGACTTTATGACTGCCAGTCCTAAGGGTTCAGAGCCACAAGCTTAACTGAAAGCAGACTTCACTAGAAAGAGTAGCCAGCCCCGACAGGCTACTCAGAAACCTATTGTGCCAAAGGATGGCCCACTTAGTCACCAGGGTGATCCAAGTATTCTACCCAAAACACAATTTCAGATCCAAAGCGGTGGGTACTAGGGAAGCTATAAAGAGAAGGTGTCGAAAGAAAGGAAGCTAAAATCACTGCCACCGAAGGGCTGCTCTTCCCTTCCCACTGCAACCTCCACGCAACCGGTATCAGAAATGTGATGTGCGCGCCTCAATACCAGAGACCCAAGGAGCGTTTCGGTCTTTATTAAAATATACAGCTGCCCTTGCTCACATGCGGAGGCTCCCCAAGATCTGTGCTCTGAGCCCGCAACATCCCAGGAACACGAAGAGCCGAGAGAATCTTAAAAGCATGAGTTCTCGAACTGGGAAAAACTACTGAAGCGCTCATCTCCTTTTTCTCCTTTTGACTTTGACTTCTCAGAAAAGGGGTTGTGAACATGTACTGCTGGGGTCTCAATGCTCAGCTAACTCTCCCTGCCGAGGGCTCTGTGCACACGTGCGACACCACCCATGTGAGGTGTTACGATAAAGACACGTAAAGATTTCTTGTCTGAATTAACATTCCTAAAACCTGGGGGAAGTTATCAGTCTCGTCACTTTTTATTTGGCTATGCAATATGTGGAAGGGAGAAATAAGGAGAAAAGACCTACCTAAATTTTGCCACATGCTGAACAGTTCATAAGCCATCATCACACGCATGTCCCCATACCTGGAAATAGTAACACAGGAGCCAGTTAATAGTGGGAGAAGGTTCAGGAAGAGGGGGCTACAAACTCAGCGAGGCCAGTACTTCGGCACTGTTTTGGAATGCTTTCCAAAGTACTAAGTCATTTGGCCTTTGACTGTGTGCTCTTGCTTGGCTCCTTGGGTAGCTGCTCCAGTGAGAACCATGTGGACGCTCACTGAAACAGGCCCATCTGCGCATGTGGCAAGGAGGTGAATAAGAGACATATGTCTTACTTATCTAGAATCTTCTTCCTCTTGGCTGAAGTGATGACTTCGAGCTGGAGGCTTGGCTGATTTATGAACAGAACTGCCAGGCTAAAATAAGAATTCCACACCTAGGGAGATGGGAAGAGGAAACACGTGACAGCCTGAATCCTTAACCTTGCAAGGAGAGATTCTAAATATATGCATGTAGCACAGAATTCATTTTACAACTTTAAGATTTTGCTTTTTTTTCTCCTTTTTAAATATCTTTGCAAACAGGATTCTTTTTTCTTGACTCTGTTGAAGCCAATAGTGTTGATTCTGGACTAGAAAGCATACGCATGGACGTCTGGCTCCCAACACCTCCCACAGTGGGGCTCCCAGGTGATATTCTAGTCACTATCAAGCCTGGAAGCTGTTTGATACTATGAACGTATTAATCGATATGTCAGGCCCTATGCTGACGCCCAGCCGAGTTCTCAAATTCCCGACCTGCAAAATGGTAAGCAAGATAAAAATCATCGTTTTAAGTAAAAAAAAAAAACAAAAACCAAAAAGAAAAACAGTGAGCTTGGTTTTTGTCTTTCTAGGGTTATTACGAAGACAGTGATGAATCTCAGGAGCGCCTACCTTAAAGTCGAAGTCTGTCTCTGTGAAATTCTTGTGCAGTGCAGAAGACAAGTACTGGACGGTAGTGACTATGATACTGCAGTAAGGGAAAAGGGCGTTGGCAGAGTTAAAAACTCACAAGGGCATCTGAGAGCTTAGCATTAACTGTCTATGGCCTGTGTGTGAACTTCTTGAGGGCGACGTGCTCTCACGTAAGATGTGACCATAAAGGAAAGACACGGATGGCACGCATCCCACAGAGGCCGGTGCTGGAGAAGCGCCTACGGCTGGCAGAACGGCACGGACACCGGCGGGTTCCAGCCCTGGCTCTGCCATGGTCTGGCTTCGCTCCTACTTCTCTCTTGGCCTTAGTTTCTCTGCCTATAAAAGGGGGCAGGTGGGGTTTGATGGTTCTCTAAAGTTTCTCCCAGTTCAAAGAGTGATTTTAGTATTTGGGGGACTTTTGGGTACTGAGCATATATCATGATCGACATAGAACTTAAGAGTATAATTTTATTATTTTACTTGATACTATGGGTTTATAGTTATTAAATGCCTACTTTTGTCATAAACTATTATTTTCATCTGTAAGTTATCTGATTCTAGCCTTTAGTTTAGAATATCACGCTCATTTTAGCCTGGGCACATATAAGGGGCGTTAGGAGACTGGCTTGCTAGAACCGAGGACACAGGTTAGAGAAAATGAAGTGCAAAGGCAGCTGAAGGTTTGATTACAGAGGCCTTGGCTGTGGGGCAAAGAAGCTGGTATCTCACAGTGACCCCTGGGGTCTTGCTGTAGAAAAGGGTCAAAGCAGAAACAGCACATTAGAGAGACTAGTCCACCAGCAGAGCCGGTGACAAATCTGAAAGATAAAAAGCCTTGGAAGAAGAGGCTGCTCCGTCAGGATGGGTGGGGGAGCCTGAAGTACTCCGAGAAGAGCTGAGAGTTAGAAACAAGAGCGATTCAAATGGAAAATCCACTATTTGAGAAAATTTCTGTGCAGCTTTGTTTATAACCATTCTTCTGGTCTATATAAAATGTTTGTAGTTTTGAAAAAAAAGAAACAAACAAAAAAAACAGAGCCCTATAAATGGTACACAGTGGAAAGACCATGCTGGTACCTTGCTGACAGATCTAACATAAATAATTTCACTCTGCCCTGCACAATGCCATCATAAACGGTAGATCGGTGGGAGGAGGCAGCGGGCTAGTTAGTAGCGGCCACGTAGCTTTCTCCTGAGTGGAGGGAGACGAGGTGAGCTAGCATCTTACCCACTGCATCACTTATCTGGTTTGCTAATTAGAAGCACAATCTAGAAATACGAAGGGGGCAGGAGGTTTGGGGTCAGCCTTAGAGTGAGTTCTGTGGCTTCAGTCAGAAGTGGTCAGCGCCTCACAGCCAGGTGTCAGGTGGGTAATTAGCACTAGCTGTGGGAGGTAGGCAGCGGCTAGCAGACAACAAATCAAGGGGAGGGCCTGGGATACTGCCTGAAACTGGAGAGCCACAGAGGCCAATGGGACACTGCATAGGTCTCCCTCCAGGGAGAACCCTTCGCTGGGTATTATATTTCACAGCTTTAACATTTCCTTTTCTATCCTTACCATGACGTCATCTAAGAGCCAGGCACTTAGGCTCCATTTTTAAAATATCTCTGGGTTTTTCTTCTCTTTGAACTTATGGTAAATGGTCAAGTCCTGCTAATTGTGTCTCCAAACATTTTTTTTCACATTTACCCTCTCCTTTCTGATCCCATGACTTGACCTTGATGCCTGTCTTGTTTTCTCTCTTGCACATACACACACTCTCCTTAGTCTGAGAACAGCTCTGTGGATGCTGGTGCAGGGCCCTTCCACACTTACTTGCTTGTGAGAAGTCTCATCACCATCCAG